CTCCAAAAAGAGGTGTGTGACTTGGGAGCTGCTTGGTATTTCAAGAGTGGCCATATATTCCATAGAACAGCTTTTGTGCCCTTGTATATCTACAGCTAGTGCTGACAGGACTGTGAGGCCCACTCCTTCAGCTGGATGCTGCAAAGTGGGCTGCAATACCAATTGTTTCTTTGGTAGACAGGCAGGGGAAAGAGCAATGGCCCTGAAACCAGGAATTGGTGAGACAAGCTAGAGTTCTGTGATAGTTTGTGAGAACAAGCCTTGGTTTCATCAACTAACCATAGTTAAAATAAACCTTGGCTTTGTGTTGCATCTGAACAGACCCCACAAATAAAGGTGACCACTTTGTATATATACCTCTGAAGGCCTGGTTGGACAAGGGGAGGAGGAGGAGGAGGAGGAGGAGGAGCAGGAGATTGGATTTATACCCCGCCCTTCACTCAGAGTCTCAGAGCAGTTTACAGACTCCTTTCCCTTCCCCTCCCCACAACAGACACCCTGTGAGGTAAGTGAGGATGAGAGAGCTCTTTCAAGAACTGCCCTTTCAAGGACAGCTCTTGTCAGAACTATGGCTTGACCAGGGTCATCCAGCAGCTGCAAGTGGAGGAGTGGGGAATCAAACCTGGTTCTTCCAGATTAAAGTCCGCACTTAACCACTACACCAAACTGGCTCTCTTAACCCAAGGGTACCCAACCTTTTTAATCCTGTGGGTAATTTCGGAATGCTGACACAGGGTGGTGAGTGCAACCACAAAATGGCTGCCACAAGAGACACAAAACATTAAGAGAGCCGGGTTATGAATTACCCTAATAGTAGCTCTTCAACATTTCAGGCAAAGGCTTAACAGGATGCCTTTTAAAATGAACATTTTTTTAAAAAAAAATATTTTCTGGCATACAGCTTTCCTTCAGTTGTGCATTGAAGATCCTTGTGCTGTGGTGGCAACTTATGTAAAAGCAACTTTTTAAAAGCCTGCACAGTCAGTTGGATCCCCAGCCCCATGGCCTTGCCCATTTTCTAACATTTTGCAGGCATCAGGCAAAGTGTTGGTGGGTTCCATGGTTTCCATGGATACCATGCTGGGGACTCCTGGCTTAATACTTCTGAAATGTCCTCATTACCATGGGATCTATGCACTCTCAACTCACCTGAAGCACTAAGCTGAAGCTTAAATGCAGTAGTGCCAGGATCAGGTTTCTGAATGGTTAAAGTATTTAATACACAAGGGCTGCTGGTGCTCGTCTCCACAGGGAACCGATCCAGAATATCAACAAGGACAGACGATGAAAACTTTGGAGAATAGCTGTGCTCGAAAACCTTGTTGATTATACCTGATCCTCCCAGCCTGAATGGAAAGGAAGCACAACTGGATGACAGTGTCAACCTACACACAGCATGTTCAGAACTTGTCCCATTTGACTTTTTCCAACTTGCCTGCTCTCATAGAAACTTTGGTAGCCAACGAGGCTAGCTATTCTACCTTACTTGGCTTGTGGAGTAGACTTTGCCCAAGATTAACCCCTGAGCCCTTGCCTCATTAAGGACAAATAAAATAGAGTGGGGGCTACTTCTGCCATAGAAGCAGACTCCTGTCTCCAGAAAAAGCACAGCTGCCCACACCAGTGTTTTCCAGGCTTCAATTTGTATAAATGATGCATATCAAAAGAGCCATTTCCAAATGAAACGCTGTTGTGGCACAGAGTTGTACCATGCACTTAAAACTGGCATTTTAGATCCTAGAAGTTATGTTTTAAACATGGGGTCCTGGCCCTTGTGGCGCCTGCAGGCACCTTTGGAATTCTGACACAGTGTGGTGGGCGCAGCCACAAAATGGCTGCCGCAGGAGGCAGAACCCACCACAAAATGGCTGCTTCAGCTTACCTTCAGTCACACAGTGAAGCTCCTTGGGTCATGGTGGCAGCTGCTGTCCAAGCAACATTATAAAAAATCTGCACAGCCAATCAAATCTCTAGTGGCCAATCAGAAACCTTACCCCTCGGTCCCTCCCAGTTTTTAAAAACACTGGGTGGGTGCCAGGAAAGGTGTCAGCAGGTGCTGTGGCACCCATGGGCACCATGTTGGGGTCCCCTGGTAGATGCTAAAAATGTAAGATAGAGGAACTCTGGAAACAGACATAAAGGAAATATGGGTCCCAGGGAAAAAATTAAAAAATGAAAGCCGACACTTTTACACAAATAAAGGAGGTTAGAATGGGTTAGAATGGATAAAAGGAAGTCCTTCTTCACCCAAAGAGTGATTAACACATGGAATTCACTGCCACAGGAGGTGGCAGCGGCTACAAGCATGGACGGCTTCAAGAGGGAGTTAGATAAGCATATGGAGCAGAGGTCCATCAGTGGCTATTAGCCACAAGGTATAGATAGGGGCTCTGGGGCAAGTGATGCTCTGTCTTCTTGGTGCTTGGGGGGGTCAACAGTGGGAGGGCTTCTAATGTCCTGGCCCCACTGGTGGACCTCCTGATGGCACCTGGTATTTTTGGCCACTGTGTGATACAGAGTGCTGGACTGGATCGGCCTATGGCCTGATCCAACATTGGCATCTCTTATGTTCTTATACTGAATCAAAGAAACAAACTCATTTAATCTTCATGATCAGGAAAAGTATTTGTTTCCTGTTGTTGGGTCTCACAGTTGACAAATATATAGCAACTTACCTATAGGCCAGGGGTGGCCAAACTGCAGCTCAGGAGCCACATGCGGCTCTTTCCCACAGTCTAATTTAAAGTTAACAAAAAGCAAATTTGCATATTTTTCAATAAAAACGTGTGTGTAATATTTGTTCATGTCTTGCGGCTCTCAGACATCTGACATTTATTCTGTGTGGCTCTTACGTTAAGCAAGTTTGGCCACCCCTGCTATATGCAGATATATGCCAGGCCTGCAACATTAGGTAGTCTGTGTGTGAGAGAAAGGGAGAATGCTGTTGATGTTCATTCTAATTACTGTGCTGTTTGCTTTTGTTTTACCGTATTTTGTAACACAGTGTAAAGGCAAGACACTTGCAATTTTAAAGTTGTGGAATTTATGCATTTCTACTATGAAACAAATATTCTTTATACCTATAGAACACATGGAATAATGGGATATTCCTTGATAAATAATTCTTAGAACATTTAGCATGACTGGTCTTTACCCATATTCTAATGCTTTTCCTATGTACAGATTATAGAATCTTGGCTGTATAGGATTCACATGTGGACTCAATGGAATATGACTAAAAAACATTATCTGCTCTTCAGTGATGTACTGTGGAGATAAAGCACCATCGAAAGCTAAATCATCCTCCTGGAACAAAGTCCAAAAAAAGAGAAATGTCTCATTTCCTTATGATCACAGATTAAATATATGCAGAATTAGCAAGAAGCAATTCTGAAAGCGAAATCAATATATTAGGGCCCATATAAGGACAGAACAGGTTACTGTGCAGTCACACTAATGGAAACCCATCCGACACACAAAGTTGTTTCAAAATTATGAGGGTTAAGCTGAAATAGGTGCTTGCTGCTTGCCCACCCATCCAGGGTTGTGAACTGTAATGGACATATTCCAAGGGGATGGAACAATACCTTCCTGATTAGCTTCCCCCCCAACCCAATGCACCCTCCTTCCATTGTTGAGAGGAAGGGGTGTGTGGTATGTGATGGCACAGTGAACTACTCAACCAATACCAGTTACAGGTAAGTAATCTGCTTTTTGTAGGTGTGTGGTCTCTGTGCCCCACACTGATGGGCACAGCTGGCAGAGAGCAGGTTCTAATCACCACCAGGAGGGCCTTGGGTGCCAGTTTGTAGCAGAGTGAAATGGAGTCCAATATGCACCTACTATGATGCTGCAATAGCAGCCTCTGACCATTCTTGTGAACCCTATAATATACATACAGATCAGAGTTTTTTCCTAAAAGGAGTCATTCTTTCCAGGTAAGATGCTATCTGGAAAGCTAAGGAGCCATCTTACAAGCTAGGCTGAGTAGGTAAAAAGCTTTTTTTGCAGCTGCATTAACTTGCTTCTCCAGTAATAAAGCTGGATCCAGCATGAGCCCAATGCTTTTAACTGAGTCAGCAAGGGCCAGCTATACTCCATCAAAAGTGAGAAGAGCAGTGTTCTTTAAGACCTCCTCCTTCCCAACTAGCATGATCTCTGTCTTTTCAGGGTTTAGTTTCAATTTGTTCACTTTTAGTCAGTGAACCACCATGGCCAGGTAGTGATTCAGGACCTCTACTGCATCACCGGGAGATTTAAGCTTGCCATATTAGCCTGTGGGTCTGGTGGGATTCTCTGGTTTGATGTTGTTTTTGTTACTCAGTTCTTGCTTATATAGGGCTGCCAAGCCGCGGCGGGGGATCCGTGCATCGTCACAGGATCCCTGCCACGGGGGGACAGCGATACGCGCGGCACCGGCGTCGCCAGGATGTGACACTACGCGTCGCTCTGGCAACAAGACTCCAAACAGCCCCGTTGCCAGAGCGACGCGTAGCATCACATCCTGGCGATGCCGGTGCAGCGCGTATCGGTGTCCCCCCACGGCAGGGATCCTGTGACGATGCACAGATCCCCCGCCGCGGCTTGGCAGCCCTATGCTTATACCCAGAATTCAGCTTTGTTGGTCTTAAAAGGTGTTACTGGACTCAAACTTCTGTTTACTCTTTTATTTGCATGCTAATAATTGATTTAATCCAATCATAGCTATACTTATCACTCAGTTACTTACACATCTTCACTCTGACTAGCCCTTCCTGGAAACTCCCCCCCCCCCAAATGAAAGGCTTGAGGAAGTCTGTTTCAATGTATCTGAAGAAGTGTGCATGCATAACAAAGCTTATACCCAGAATTAAACTCTGTTGGTCTTAAAGGTGCCACTACAGTCAAACTTTGTTCTTCTGATGTCTAGTTAGTATGTTAATAATGTAAAGAAATTATTTTTTCCCCAGAATAGCCTCTCATGGGCATATATAGATAAGGATGTATATTTATGAAGGATTCAATCCAATCAAATCACTAGCACTAGCCTGCTGGATAGATGTGCCCGAACAATAGATGATCATCTTCATGCAACAGTAATTAAACTTCATAACCATTTTATACAAGTATGTCAACTGCATATTAAACCTGCAATAAAGTGTTCACATCCATGGTCTGCACTTTTAGGAAATCTTGAGCTGTTTCATTCAAACTAACACAATATAAATCTCCCAAGTGGTCAAAGTACATATTAAATATATTAAGTTGTACAGTTGTAAGCTTGGCATACCGGTGTAAACCTACAGTGAAAGAACAAAAGAAAATAGGAATCATGCACATGTATAAAATCATGAGCAACCATAAGGTTGATATTGTAGGAGGGTTGTTTTCTTTGGATTTACACAGAGATTAAGATCTATTCTGATCATGCTTTGACTGATCAATGTAATAAGAGAGCCACTGTTGTGATGAGGAAAAATTGTAGCTGAGGTAGCTCTATTGTATACATAGAGACTGCAGTGGTGCCCATTTTCCCTTCTGGTGGAAACTCTTTGCACTTGATGGATGGGAGTGTGTGGGGGGTGTCCTTTTGATTTTGGTGGCAGCTTTTCAGTAGGCACAAGGAGGCTGCAGTAGGAAGGCATTAGCAGAAAAGCTACCATTTTTATGTGGAAGGCTGCATACGGCTCTTTGTATCCTTAACAACAATTCTGAACTGTTAGAAATACACAAGTAGCCAAATATTGAGTTACCTGCTAGAGCCCAGTACCCTCTTCAAAAAATCTTTAGCAGAAGACTAGTAGGTATCCAAACAACAGTGTCCAACGAAGAAAAACTGAGGTCCCAATAGTTGCCTTACAGGAATCCAATAATGGAGTGCTAATGCTAAAAGCAGCAGATGCAACTGCCCCCCTGCTATGTTAGCAGTTAGACCCCTCCTCTCGCTGAGGGGCAGTTTGTAGCTAGACACCATAAACACCCTTTCTACCATATCATAAGTGCAATACACTGTCTGGCCCAATATGACACAAAATGGATGCCAGCCAGAGACAAGCCTGGACACAGAGTTTAGGAGTATGACTAAGAACGGCTGGCTAGCTAATGACATCCTCCCCACTCTGGAGAGATGTATACTCAAGGACAAATCACCTCACCTTGAATTCATCTCATCAATACCCTGCCTCACTTCCCCTCACCAATTTATCCTAATTAAGCAACACTTAACACTATTCACCAAACCTAGTAGCTCTTCCCATCCGGTTTGGTGTAGTGGTTAAGTGTGCAGACTCTAATCTGGGAGAACCGGGTTTGATTCCCCACTCCTCCACTTGTACCTGCTGCTGTGACCTTGGGTCAGTCACAAGTTCTGGCACAGCTGTTCCTGAAATAGCAGTTTGTGTCAGAGTTCCCTCAGCCCCACCCACCTCACAGGGTATCTGTTGTGTGGAGGGGAAGGGAAAGGAGTTTGTAAGTCGTTCTGAGACTCCAAGTGAAGGGCGGGGTATAAATCCAATCTCTTCTTCTTCTAATCACAGGGTCATCAAGCACCATTAACACCTATAGGTAAACCCATCAAGCTTCTCCACCTCTTGGGATGAACCACCTGGGGTGAACACATCAGCATTGCCCCAGGGAGCATTTTGCCCAGTATCTGGAATCCCAGGCTACCAGTGTGTGTGTGTTCTCAGACCCATACATACATCCTCAAATCCACTTGGACCCTCTCTTTTTCTCTCCATGAAATGCTGGTTGTTTTGATACTGCTGCTGTGGACCTCTTTCTTTGAGACTGGTATCTATAGTCTTCCCTGAAATTGCTTTCTGCCCTCTCCTTCCTGATTTTCTCTTAGCTAGCCTTGTATATGTCTTCAGTATGGTTGTATGTGTGTTCTATTCTTTTATTATCTTTCAATAACAATCTTTCCACTGAACATTGGCCTAGTTTATTTTGAGAGTTCTTTTAAGGGAAAAAACCCTGTAAACATTGATGGAGAATCCCAGTTACTCTCTCTCGCCTTGTCTCTTTTAAAACTAATTTCCCCCAATTAAATAGGAGACTGCCTGTTTGGGTAACAGCTAGAACATGAAGTAGGAGCCATGGAGTGTGTTAAACTTTATAGGGACAGAGCAAGGAAAATCCTAATCTGCCATTTTACAGTGGCTTTTTCCTCACAGCTGAATAGTTACATAACACTAACAAACTATCAAACCTAGGAAACTATTATTTTCTTCAAGCAGCAGAAGAAAATAATTGGTTTTTATACCCTACTTTTGTCTACCTTTAGCAGTCCCAAAGCAGCTTACAATCACCTTTCCCATCTTCTCCCCACAACAGGCATCGTGTGAGGTAGGTGGGGCTGAGTCAGTTCTGAGAGAACTGTGCCTGGCCCAAGGTCACCCAGCAGGCTTCATGTGCAGGAGTGGGGAATCAAACCTGGTTTTCCAGACTAGAGTCTGCCGCTGTTGATCAATACACTGGCTCTCAGCTAAGAGTCATTCATCATTTGTATATTAACCATTCCTCTGTGGACATTTCACAACTGGGTAAAATTATAGTAACACTAATTCCTGTGCTTCATGATATATACTGATTTGGGGGTGGAGGGAATCAGTTCTCAAAGCAAGTTTATCATTGAAGGGAAACACATAGCTCTCTTCATGCCAATAAAGATACTTAAACCCAAATTCTTCCAGCTATGAACTTCCACAATAATAATGATAAAAGATCAGTTTCACAAGTTCAAAAGGCTCATCAGTTAGCACTTTAAGTCTTTGTGAAGTTCCCAGGATGGGTAACTGTATGTCGCTGTAAGTTCAACAGTGTGATCCCATTGAGAAACCATGTTAGAACTGGATTTAGAAATGGTGTCACCACAGTCAGTAATTCATGGGAGTGGCAGATCTGGCAGGAGAAAACTGGAAAGTGGGAAGGGAAAGGTGTACGAGTTGAATGAAAGCAGAAGAAAAACAGTGTGTGTGCAGATGAATGTATGTGCATTGACTTGTCACAATAGAAATGAAGAAAAAATGAGATGAATGAAAGTAGATGAGAAACAGAGCGCATGGAGGTGATTTTACGTGCATTCACTTGTCACAAAAGAAGAGAAAAATGTAGAGGTCTCTGTTGCCATGTGTTTGTGGCCCATACAGATGAGATATCGACTATGAGACAGCACAGAGGCACAGTGAAGACATTTTCTATTCCCCGCAGAATGTCAGTGTTAAATATTTCCTTACTATTCTCTGTATTCCTTATGATTATGTGCCTTACTTCATATTCCAGGAGCTTTGAATTCTTTTGAAGTTCTTACCTGCCTTGGTGTAGAAAACACTCCCCTTGTCAGTCGCAAATACAATAGCCTGGGTGTAAACACATGTATCTGTTTTGACAACAGTCTCATTCACTAATTTAATTAAAAGTTGAAATTTGTTACCTCCATCTTCAGAAAACCACACCTAAAGGGGGGGAAATTGAATATAAAAGATACGATCTCTACATTTAAAATTGACAGGACTAAAAAGTGTAAGTATTGTTTTAGGTGATAATTATTTTTAGAGAAGAACCCCAACACAGCCATTACCTTGAAATGATGATGATAGTAACAGAAATCATAGTCATGGGTACTCAGTGGCAGGTGATAGGTGCTACAGTTTGGGGATTCTTAAACACAGTTGCCATGAAGCCACTTCAAATGGCATTATAAGAGACTCTTTAATATCACTGCCTTGCTGGACTGTGAAGAGAGTGTGCCAAAGCAATGGACAGAGTTGTGGTCCTAAGTGAAGGGCCCACTGCTGGATTATGGACTGTACACTGTGGCTTGTGCCAAAGAAGTATGCCAAGCCAGACGCGGACACGGGACTACAGAAGCCTTCTGACTCTGCACGTCTGCATCCACAGCTGCAGGTATGATGCAGATCCACAGCTCCAGGTATGATGCAGACCAACAGCCCTGGCCTCCATGTACAAAGACTGTAGCAGACCTGAAGAGAATCCATGTTCTGACAGAGGACTCGTGTTCCTGTACAGAACCCATGAAGTCATCTCTTTTCCACCACGTAGCACATTCCTCCCCCTCCTCCTCAGCCATTCCCAGCGCTGTGATTGGATCCCTCTACCCTCTCCTTTGTCTCATCCCCTTTCCAAGAGGTGTCACTCCCTGCCGACCATCAACTTTCAATTGCCCAACTGTCAACTCCTTTGTGTCCCCCATCCAGAGTATAGTTTTTTTCCTAACACTTCCTGGGAACCAGTGACCACATGGTCATTGCCTCAGGTCACAATTTAGCTATTTAAGGTGAGCTCTCCCCGAGTTCGCTCTCTTGGCTCTTCTTCTCTTTGCCCCATCCTAACTTGTTAGGTCCATTCTTGGCCGGTTTGGAATCAGTCCACGTGTGTCACTGGTTGACTCACGGTTCACCCCCACCCTCATTTGTCTATATTTCGCTGCATGATCTACTCATCTCGTTGGACAGGTAACATAGTACCCACCAACAATACCCCTGCTCTTGCAAACATCACTATCTTTTCAACTCTGTATTCTTAGTCCTGTATTGTGTGTGTGAGTGCTTGATTATTATTATTTGTATGCTTGAGAACATTTAGTAAAGAGATCAATTATTCTAGCAGCCTGGTCTTCTCGCCTATTCATGGGCTCTGGGAATCCTGACTCTGGTATACAAGGGTTATGATCCTATATTTTATGCCTGTTGCTATTTAATATTCATAATTCCCCGAGCTTGATAGTAATATAAGGCAACTTGGCTAACAGCAAGTGCCTGACCCAGTTCATTGGGTTACTCCTTGCATGTAGCAAGGTACAGCACAACTTGGGCTGATGCAGACATGCTTTTAATTACTCTTTTTTTGGGGGTACTTTTGTATTTGTGTGTGTGTGTGTGTATGCCTGCACCTGGAAGTCACGGTGATCTCTGGCGACCCCTACTGGGGGCATGGAGGATGTTCAGAGAGGTGGCTTGATAGCCTACCTCTGCCTCCCGGCCCTGATATTCTTTGGAGGTCTCCCATCCAAATACTTGTCAGGGTCATCCCTGCTTAGTTTCCAAGATCTGATGAGATAGGGCTTGCCTGGGCTATCCAGGTCAGGGCATTCTTGATTACTCTTCAGTGGGTTGCAAGAGCACATGTTCCTTTCTTGTTATCATTGTCTATTTTCTCAGCAGCAAATAACCCTCTCCTGAGCCACAATTCAGCATGATGTCAAAGGCAACACAAATGCTAAGGCTAAGCAGGATTCCCATATGACCATCTTTAAATCTGGATTTCAAGTGCTTGTTAAACAGGGATCTCAGTTACAGATGCTGTTCATTGGTAGAGCTCCTGCTGTCACCATTGCTGCTACTCCTCCATACAGGTGAGACTCTTGAAGTGGTAAGGAGGAGGGGCTGAGACATTCACTGGAGAGCTTGTCTTTTGGAAAGGAAGGAAGTGATGTTTTATTTCAAAATAGGGTTGCCAGCCTCCAGGTGGTGGCTGGACATTTCCTGGGATTACAACAGACCTCCAGGTATGACATTTATTTATTTATTTATTTGTTAAATTTATACCCCGCCCTCCCCCGTAGGGCTCAGGGCGGCTTACATAGTATAAACTTACTCATAAAAACATCAAATACTTTACTACAAAAATGCAATATATAATTTAAAACCCAAACAAACAGTTCCTCTGAAGAAAATGGCTGCTTTGGAAGGTGGACTCTATGACACAACACCCCGCTGAGGCTCCCATCACTCCCCAAACCCTGCCTTCCTTAGCTCTACCCCCCAAATCTCCAGGAATTCCCCAACCCAGAGCGGGCAACCCTATTTCAAAAGGAAACGTGTGCGCTTTGATATTTAAGGGAAGAGAAAACTGGCAGCCTGATGGGAACCTACATGTACATTTGGCATTGGTTATATGTTGGAAGTCAACCCATAGGCTTTCTTGACATTGTATGATCACAGGCCATATTACTCACATCCTGAAAGCCAAGTGAAGTGGTTGTGGGTGGTGGTGACTGTATGTCCAAACAACTCAGCAGATCAGGTTGGTCCTTGCATGACAAGGACCAACACACACATCACCCATTTAAACACACATCACACTAACACACACATCACCCATTTAAAAACTCACTTGGGTTCCCAATAGAGTAACAATAGCCCTTGCCCACCAGCTGTCTGAAAGCAGCCATTGTCTCTTTTGGCTCTTTGCACGTATGTATGGAAAATGCACAAATGGCAGCATAGAAAAATGAGGGTGAGGAGACACAAATTAAACACAATAACAGGCTAGGAATGTCACAGGCTCTGGTACAGGTATGCCCAATGACTTTTTGAAGTCTCCTTCCTTTGTAAATATGGGATTGTTTTTCAAAAGAATTTGGAGTTAGGATCTGTCATTCCTAAAATTCCTGCTACTAATACTCACCTGGTTTCCATAAACATACAGAAAATGACTGTTTGGGTGGAAAAACATGCCGAATGCCACAAACTCACTATCTGGAAACCAAAAATCTGGAAACTTTCTTCTTCTGTTCAGTCTGTGGTTTGTTAACTTATTCACTGCTACTAATGCCCTACCCTACAAAATAAGGGAAAACACATAATTTTGTACATTAACAGGCAGAAATGTGGTATAAATAAATCTGCTTGAAACCAGTACAGGTGAAAGCACATTATAATATATCTGGTCACATTTTGGAAGGGAGTCAAAATAATTGACATGAATTGTCACAATTTAGCATTACAGGAAAGGTAGATGAGGCAGCTGCAGAAGATAATGGCAACAGTAGTGGGATAGTTGGTGGAGAACAGAGTCCCAAATTGCTTTGGACTCTGCTTGAAAATGTCACCTAGATGCTGGTTCCTTTCACCAATCCAGCCCTGCTTTCAACTTGCATTTTTTGAGTAGGTGCTCTGGACTTCTGCCATTATCATTTCAATTTGGGTATGCTTGTATTCTTACCTTGTCACTATGTTAGCGGAGGCCAAGTTTCCTCCTTTTGGTCAAAAACAGACCACCACAAATTTTGGACCAAGTAATTTTGCAGATGCATACATATTACAATAAAGATAGTTCCAAGTGTTTAGATGTGTTGGTCTGAAGCAGTAGAACAAATTTAGAGTCCAGTGGCACCTTTAAGCCCAACAAAAGTTTATTCAAGGTATGAGCTTTCGTGTGCTCATGTCCTTCTCAAAATCCATCAGTGCAACCTGGCTTCCAAAGTGAGGCTCGAGGCCCTACTGAAATGGGTCAATGGCAGATGCATCATTTAGAAACCCCTGGAAGTGCTCTGCTACCGTATGCTCTATGACATTCTCTAAAAATTGGAGTGTGGCCTGTTGTTGGCCAGATAATCCTTAATCAATGAAGATTTTTTAAAAAGCAGACATCTAATAAAAACTTTCTTCAAGGAACTATGGTCAATGAGGCATTTATTAATGATTTTAACCAGGTGGGGCCTGGGGATTTCCTTCTTTTACAGCTGGTCTCCAGCTGACAGAGATCAGCTCACCTCAAGAGAATGGCTGCTATGGCATTGTACCATGCTGAGGCCTCTCCCCTCCCCTCCCCAAACCTCACCCTCTCCAGGCTTCACCCCCAAAGTCTCCAGGTGTTTTCCAACTCAGACCCGGCACCCTATTTTAACCAGAGGCTCCAACAGCTTTCCCTGGCATGATTTTACAAGTCAAGATGGGCATGCATAAAAAACACAAGTGCTGGATTTTGGTCCCCCTAAGACCATGTCAGCACCCATTACCAAGATCAGTCTGAAACTACCCATGGAAAAAGAACAAGCAAGTGCTTCTGACACCTCAGGTAGCAGATCTGCTTTCAACCTGACTTCCAAATGAGAATGGGTGAGAGAGATTTTATGACTAAAGAACCTCACAAAAATGTCACCGTTTGGGCCAGATTGGCATCATTAGCCAGATAGAACTTAGGTGTTACTAAGTCTTGAACCAGTTTAAACAATCAAACCGGTCAGTATTTAACTGACACAACAGTGCTGGAGAAGAAAAGCTTCTTCATTACCCTTACCACTACTTCATAAGCATGCAGATTGGCTCTATGATGTGCTCTGATTTCTCCCAAGTCTTCTGCCAATGGAATTCAAGTTATCTCCAAGTGACCTTCACATCCACCAGCTCCCCAATAAACCAAGAAGCTAGAAGCTTAATAGAGAGTGAGAGAGGGGACCAAAAAGGAACCCTTTTTATGGTTCCACAGAGTCACTAGAAAGGTTGTTTGAGCTCAACTTTGGTGAAGACCTTATATACCCAGCTGGTACCAGCTGTGCCAAACTAACAACATCAGAATCATCCACACGTTTTGGCCAGGCAAGCCAGGTCCACCTGTTTCTCACATAAGCAAGTCAGATATTACAGAGATCTTATTTTGCATGAACCTGACATTGTACAGTTGAAGTGGAGCCACCAAAAATTGGACACACATGGTCCAAAGTTGTACCTCTGATGAAAGGCACAAAGCCAGTGTGAAAGCGCAGATAACCACTTGAAGAACAACAATTTATAAATTTTATTTAAAATATTTTATGCAATTTTACCTCCCAAATACAGTCCCCAAGGCAGTGAACATAAAAACATTAAAATATTTGAACATTGCAATTTCAGATATGCAACCTATTTTTCTTTTTTTGATTATGTTACAACTGGAACTTATATTTGTCAGCAAAATGACTTCATCCAAATGTTGTGTTGTTGTGTTTTCATGCAATTTTCAACATTAAGCTGTGACTTTATCTATATGCCTGCCAAGTATTCCATTTCTGTGCCATTAAATAATGTCACAGACCTTAGCTTTAATCCAATTTTTCCTTCAAGGCTCCATCATTGGATAAGAAAGTTTTTAGTTGTATTTAAAAAACAAAGTTTCCATCTTGAAATCAGACCACAAGGCAAATTGACAATATCACTTTCCAGTGTCTACAGGATGCAGGACATTATGAATCAGACAATGAAAGCTTGAGTATATTTTGTACACACAGTAGACAGGACCTGACACAGAAAATCACTAAGGGGACTATTAGTGCTATACATATCTTATGGTTTTACTTTGTTATGTGGGTCAGGTGTTAAATCTAACTAAATAATAATTTTGTTGTTTGGGTTATTTTAACATTATTGGACAGAACTTTCATAACTCTACAAAAGACCAGATAATTCATTATAAATTTCATAACAACATGGCATATACACATACACACCAACTGAAATAGTATGTTTTGCACATTGTACCTGCTGAGTTAAAAAACCTATGCCAGTGTTCTGTTGATAATCAACAAGAAAAGAAACTGCTCGTCGGGAAGTGAACTTGTCAGTTTGTTTTCTGCGAGGCAAGCAGCTGCGCCATTGTGTAAATGGATCATTACTATAGAAACAAGTAGATTCCTATGAAAAAGATATTTCACATTAGAAGTGCAATAAAATAAATAGGTAGTATCCATAAATTTAGGGACACATCATATGTTTGGTTTAAAATCGATGCCTAGTAATATAGAAAGAAACAAGCAACACATAAGAGGTCAGGGACTAGAAATCACGAAGAGGGGGGGAACTGTGAAAGTCAGAAAAGCCCGGGCATCGGACCACTGTAAGTGCCACAGTCTGTATCTTATTACAGTAATTTATAATTAATATTGAGGCCACAGTTTCCCATGATTTGCTATACACACTGTCATTTATTCTGCATCATCAATAATAAAACAGCTGTTCAAGAATCCCAATACAAACACCTTGGGCTGCATATATAATTCTTAACTAATAATCTTTCTAACTGATGCCTGAATCTGCTTCCAGCATGACATAGCTAACAGCACTTTCCAAACATATATTATAACTGCATTTGTGGTCTGATGACGCCAACAATACACATTGCCCAAATTACAAATATGTTTTAGCTTTAACAGTGACAAATACTGCCTTAATTAAAATTTATAAAATTCTCCTTCACATTACATTCCTAGAAATATTATCCCGCGTTTATTCCCACTCCTGTTTTAGGATACAGCATGCAATATCTTTTCCCTGTTAAACCTTATAACTTTCTCTTTTAGTCTGTATATTTATCATCATTTGGTATATTTGACCATTTCATCATTTAAATGTTGTCTGTTCTAATAATAGAGAGGTAGAGGTTCCCTTGCTCGAAAGCCAGTCGAATCCGACTCTAGGGTTGCGGTGCTCATCTCCGTTTCAAAGCCGAAGAGCCAGCGCTGTCCAAAGACGTTTCCGTGGTCATGTGGCTGGCATGACTAAACACCAAGGTGCACGGAACGCTGTTACCTTCCCACCGAAGTGGTACCTATTTATCCACTTGCAATTTCTTGCTTTCAAACTGCTAGGTTTACTTTGATTTTATAAAGATTCTGAATTGTAAACTACAGATGCCAGAAGCGACACTGCTGAACTCAGTGTGTGTCCCATGTACCTTGAGCAACTTCAGACTTATTGTAACTGTCTGAATTAATGACCTCCTAAAAATGTCCTATCATTAACAGCCTTGCTCAGGTCTTGCAAACTAAAGGCTGTGGCTTCCTTCATTGAGTCAGATCTTCCTCTTTTCCTACTATCTTCAACTTTTCCTAGCATTATGGGGTTGTTTTTTTTTACAGTAAGTCTTATCACTTATAATCTTCCTTTCTCTATTGGGGGTAAAAGCAGCGTGGAGTGCCTCCAGATATCTCTAGATATTTCATTATTGCTGTGTTATTACATACATTTGCAACTAGATTTTTCTGTGTGGACAAGATATTCCAAGTGGTAAATGATCGCTATAGTGTAATAGCCAAACATCTGGATGCAGTCTTGAAGGTGGAGTTTTCAGGAGGAAATGACAGAGGGATAAGCATTATCTTCTCCTTCTTTTCTCCCACTGAAAACTTCAACTCCAGCTGCTACAATCTGTAAAGCAAATGAACAAAAGTTCCTTTATAATATGATTGTAAAATCATAGCGAATGTGTAGCTGGACAGTTGGCATCCTAGGCAAATCACTAATGTTAAGCTATTTAGCATGCCTGCTTTCTGCTTCACCTGTTCAATCCATCTCCATGGCTTTTCAGGACTTTATGTATCGCCTTACCCTTCCACTTCCAGAGAGTCTCTTCAGGACCCTTAGCTTAGATCCTTGAATCCAGAAGGGCAGATGCTATTGGTGCTTGGGTGGGGGGCAACAGTGGGAGGGCTCCTAGTGTCCTGGCCCCACTGATGGACCTCTTGATGGCACCTAGTATTTTTGGCCACTGTGTGACAGAGTGTAGGACTGGATAAGCCGTTGGCCTGATCCGACATTGGCTTCTCTTATGTTCTTATTAATCACACATTAGCCACAAGATTTTTCGAGCAGAGTTCGCCCCAAAGTTCCTTCTCCATTGACTGGTCACAGGGCTGGTTCACCCGCTAGGTGAACTAGGCATTCGCTAGATGAACTAGGCATTCGCCGAGGCATTCAGGCTGGTTCACTCGCTAGGTGAACTAGGCATTCACCTAGAGTGTGGGCTGGCCCTAGGGGTGCCAAACAGGACCCTGCCCCCCGCCAAAATCTCCCTGGCTAGTGGCTTCCCTGATCGGGCGACTGCCTGCGCCGCCAGTGCTGCCGCTGCCTCTGAGTTCTGACTGGGCCTGGGCACCATGCCAAACTGCACACGGCAGCCCCACCCTCGTGAAAAGCCCACACGCCGCCCAGAAGAAGCCCTGCTTCCCGCCTCGCGCCTCCCCTCAGTGCCCCGGCCTGGAGGCAGTCTACCTTCCGGAGGGTGGGAGAAAGAGGAGTTGAGGAGCCGCGCGGCTAGTCTGAGTGGGAGCGCCATGGGGAAGGAGGCCAGCCAATTCTCTCTGCACGTGCTCGGGGGCTTCGGAGCTGGACTTCCCGGTGCGGGGGGGCTCTCGGCAACTTCGGCCCTTTGACCGCCCCAGCGAGGGTTTGTTTCTGCATGCAGGGAGGGCCCCCCAGGGTTTTTGAACTCTGCATCCAGCCTCCGCCCCCATGCAGTCTGGTCTCTAGGTCTCCCTGGCAAGGAGGTGGCGGGGGGGGTGGGGAGAAAAGCGCCTGATCAAATGAAGGAAGGCGAAGGAGAGGAGGACCAGACTCGGGGTGAGAGGAAGATATTGGCAACAGCTGCCTCTTCCTGCACGCCCCTCCCCGGTCTGCCAACACCCAGCCGGGGGGGAGGCAAAAAAAAGGTCCGGGAGCCGCCGCTGTTGCAGCAGCAGCAACAACAACCACCCCCTCCCCAGCCAAGCATGGACAAAACTCTCTCTTTGGCCAGGAGACCCGGCTGGCTCCTTCTGTTGACAGCAGCTCTCTGCTTCTGGGGGGCAAAAGGAAAGGTAAGCGAGAGGCGAGGTTGCAGGTGCACTCTCCCCGCAGCAGAAAGGAAGAGATGCTTTGATTTGCAAATTGCGCCCATGAGTTAAAGGGGGGGGGAGGTGGCAAGTGGGAGGCAGTGGCAAGCTTTTCATGGCATGGAGAGAGGGGGGTGTTTATAATTTGCTGGGGGGGAGAGAAGGGAACAGAACAGCTTCCCCCATGAGTCCCTGGCTTGCCATTTATTTTATTTTAAGGGAGGGACTTCCTTGTCTCCAGGCCCCGGATGGAGATTGGCAACCGCATACTTGGGCGTGTGTGTGTGTGCGCGCGCGCGCCAGAAGGTAGCCCCGCCTATGGTGCAAAAAAACCCTTGGGCCGGCTCTTTTTCTTACCTTAAATTTTCTTACCTTAAATATCTTTTCTCCAGCAGCATATGATCAAAGTGGCCATTGACAAAGGCAATTCCAGTGCACCAGTTTGTGGACCAGTCTTCATCAAAGTTAGTGAGACTAGCCTTGATGGAAATGTTGTTCCAGTTGCCTTTTGGTTTTTGAGACAATATCAAACATTTCACAACTTTGATTGTGGCTACCAGGGACCAACCATTATTTGAACTATTGCAAGGATTTTCAGGAGATCAAATTCTGTGCCATATTTCAGCTCCTGTTCTGAACTGAACAATCAATTCCCAGTTATACTCATCTAATACTCATCAGGATTCTTCATCTTTTCTCTTACCTGGCTTAATGTTTTATCTTTGTTGAATGAGAGGGAAATATAATCCACTGAAAGAAAAGGAGAAATATATAACTCAAAAGTCAGTGAAGATTTGCAAAGAGCTCATGGTCAAATGCTAATTTTCAACTTCAAAATACAGAAACAACCAGAAATCTTCTTGGAAGTTAATAATTACTGGTTATGTCACTAACAGCTTAATCCTAAACACACTTTTCTAATATTAAGCCCCATGAAATAAACCTGAATAGGATTCTGTTTAACATAACTGCATTGCATTACTAAGTTCAAATGAACATAAACCAGAAGAGCAATGGGTTAAAACCAGAGATATTATCAAGGAAGAAAGCACAAAGACTATTCCTGTAAAAGGGATACTCCATGAAGACTCAGATATGCCATCAGGACTATCAGTATCTTGGTGAAAACCCTGGGTGATGACTTCAGACCAAACGGGATTGCCCAATATTGGAAATGCCTTCTGTTGTATGCAAAGTGTAGGAACCTTCAATGGTCTTTTAGTATCTGAACATGTAAATAGGCCTTCAAGAGAACAATAGAGGCCAAGTCCCTTCTGAATGGCTGCCATGATGGATTTGAGGGTTTCCATTTTGAGCTTCCTCATACTGTTCAGCCATTTTAAGTCCAGGATGGCCCTGACATCTCCATTCCTCTTTAGTAATATGAAGAATACTGAATAGACCCCTTGGATTCTTCCTGCTTCAGGTATTGGTTCTATAGCCTCGATGTCCAGTAGTTTTTGGATGTCCATCTCTAAAAGTTGGTGTTTTTGACTGGACTGATTCTTTGGAATTTGGAGAAAATGCCTGGGCAGAATGGAGTTGAATTCTAATGAGTATCCATTGATTATCGTATCCAATACCCACTTGTCATTTACTTTTTGGTGGCAATGACTTGCAAAATGCTGCAGATGCCCTCCAATTCCTGTAGTGCCTGTTGACTCAGCATAGTCATGCTGAGGTTCCCTTCTAGGGTTCCTTTGTGTTCTGATTGGGTTTATGGAAAGAGGACAGACATACAACTTGGCATATCAGAGATAAAAGTACATTAAAATTTAGGAATACATAAAAATATGGCTGTCGTACAAACAAACAGCAAGAAAAAAGAACTGATCAGTATATAGTTTCCCTGATTTGAATTGCAGATTGAAGAAAACAGGCAACATTAAAAGTTATAGAAGAGTTTTGCCCCGAGAGTAGCAACTGGACTTTGACACTCTCAGGGAGACCACGCCATGTAAAAAGAAGGGTGTCCAGAAATTTATCCAGCGTCTTAGCATAAAATGGACAATTTAAAAGAATGTGGGAAATGGATTCGATAGCACCCTGACTACAAGGGCATTGTCTAAATTCATAAGGGATTTTATGGCATCTTCCAGAGAAGATGTCCGATGGCATTGTGGAGGCAGATGAAAAATAAAGCAGATCTAAAGGTATCCCTAAGGACCTAATTTTTTTTGAACTAATCTCAGCCAATTAGGTTCACAATGATCTGTCAGCATTAAAAAGGTAAAAGAATCCGGGTCAGGATTAAACAGAGGGTGCAGCCAAAATTTGATGGTCAAAAGCCAGGCCCGAGTTTCCAGGGACATCTGACCGGTTTTGAGACACATTGCGGCATATGGGACACAATTAGGAAGACTTCCGGTTGGGCGGCAAATGGCACAGACGCTTACTGTGGAGCTCCGAGGACCTTAAGGTCTTATTTTTTTTATAAGCTTTTATTCTGTTTCCTTGGCAATAACATTTACTGTATAGTTTATCAAGAACAAGACATTTGTTTAGCTTGCTGTGGAAAGAGGAAGATCTGCCTTCATCTCGTAGTTTGGTCTACCATCTTTCTTTGAAGGTCCTGGAGTAGCCTGGGTGTGTTGGACACTTGGACTCTTGAAAGGACTGAAACCTCTGTCTAGACTTCCCATCTTTCTTCTTGGAAGGAAGGGCTTTCTTGTTCCAGGTATTTGTCCATACCTTCTCTGAAGAGATTGATGCGCTTGAAGGGGACCACCACCGCTACCTTGGCTTGGGCCAAGGGGTCCACATCCCAGCTTCTAAGCCAGGTGCTCCGCCTAGCCACCATGCTAAATTCCATAGCTCTAGTTGACAACTGTAAAGCATCGAGGGACTCATCTGCCACAAAAGCTGTTGCCCGGGCAATCTTCTTGATTTCATCCTTGAGTTCTTTAGGGAGATTGCTACTTGCTGCTGCCAAGTCCGAGGCCCATGAGAATGCAGCTCTAGCAAATGGAGAACCAGCTGCTGATGCTCTCAGAGATGCTGCTGAGGCCTCAAAGTCCCTATGCAAAGCCTGATCAATCCACTAATTGCAGGGATCCTTGGGCAAACCATCCACCTCCATTGGTAGCATGGAATTGGATGCCAGGTTGGCCACTGGATCATCTACGAAAGGCAGCTCAATCTTTTTTGTGGCCTCTGGAACCAAGGAATAAAACTTAGAAAAAATAGGGTGGTTAGCTTTAGGCTTAGCTGGAGCTTCCCACTCCGCCTTCATCAAATTATAAAAAGCTGCTGTCAGGGGAATACATGATGGGGCCACTCCCGACTTAGGAAGGGTGTAATGATTCCATGTTTTGGTGTGTGTGTGTGTCTTTAAATGTTGAGTTTGACTGCAGTAATGCAAGGAGGGCAATAGGGGGAGATGAGTGTGCTGTGATTGGCTGGTGATTGAGTGTGGGAGGAGATGTTCTGAGAAGAATCTGTGTGAGTGTTTTATGACAGAGTCCTGTGTATGTGTCTTTGGAAAGTGAAGTGTGGAAGAGCTATGAAGAGGGTCTGTGGAACGCTAAAAGTTTTGTGAGAGAGTCTATATGGCAAAGAAACAAGTAGTGTCTAAACTGTGTGGTTAGACAAATGTTTTATCTTGTGTGCCTAAGACAAAGAGCTTAGCCAGTGTGGTTACATATATGAGAGAGAGAAGCCTGTCAGCGTGGAATTTTGGTGTCTGAGAGACTGTGTGTGACACCTCGCCAGTTATATTTACAAGTTCCTTTCCCCAGAAACAGTTCAAGATAACCAGAAACCGATTTTGTTTTTTATTCAATAAATCAATTTTTGTTTAAACATATCCCAGAAATCAGTACAGTCCTTCCTCAGGGCCACATAGTCCTCTGAAGTGCCCAGACCCTGGGCCATACAACCAAAAGAGAGAGAATTGGATTTTTTAATTCCTGGTGGCAGCAGAAAACTACCAAGTTTATACACACAGAGGATGGTTTAAAGGAAAAACAGTCTTCCCCCCCCCCTCCAAATAGCAAGCACACCACAAAGGGTTCTATCCGATCCCTCTGGAAAATCTGGGTCTGGTCCCTCTTTTCCTTTGGACTTATGAGAGATCTCGAGGACTTGCAGCACCTTAGGGAGTAGCCTGGCATATAGATCCTGGCCTCACTTGGAGGCTGGCAACCCTAACATGCCTAGGTATGGCACTGGCACTGACTGAAGTTATAATGTACTAAGATTTGACACTTGTTATTCAGCTCTGGTCAAATGGGAACCTAGTTATATTGGTTTAAATGTAAGCCATCGTAATATTGTAATCATGTTAAAGACATCTGAATGTATAATTAAAATAACATTTTAAAAACCCACTTGGTTAATATACTAACTTTATGCCATGTAAATACTTAATAAACATTTATATTTGTAAAAGCCATGTGATGGGCCACTGCTTTACCATAAACTATGCATGTCACAGTGTTTCAGCTTAAAACAATTTACTATCCCAGCTACACTTCATACATATTTTTATTGCTTGCAGATTTGGTTTCCTCACCTTCATAGTTTTCTTGGTTAGCCAGACATTGGATATTATACCATATTTTTGCTCTGAAATAATCATCCTGTGGGAAAGATAAATAAGTAATTACTGTTAGTACAATTATTTTTGTATTGTTATTGTGCATGATACAGCTGATAAGATTCTAAGGGGTTCACTAGATTATGGACCACATTTTCTGTTGCCCCAACTTCTTGCTGGAGATGAGGGGAATAGCCAATAGGATCATCTAAGAGAAGAGTGTTGGTTCTGGTGGCAAAGACATTAGTAGTGGTGCTTGTTTTTCCAGAGAGGTTGTCACCATGCCACTACCATAAGGAATGAAAGAAGTGTTGCATAGGTGTGAGAGAGCAGGAAGATGGCAAAGAAAGGGAAGATAACAAGCAAAGAACACAACAAATGCCAAGGAAAAATGATCTGACTATCACTTTGGACCGGTAGAAGGGAACCTGTGGGATCTCACTGGTCGGAGAAAAGTTAGTCAATCAAGAAGACTGGCATATAGTGGCAGCTCTTCTTGATATTATTTTTACACATTTACACAGCACAAGTTGTGGGGTGAAGCTATATATGCGTAGTATAAGTTGTGATAATGAGTACACTTACTTGGAAATAAGGTGTACCAAAATAAATGTCAGGAGAAAAATGAATGGGCTTATAAACAGTTCAAATCGATTTCTCCTATCTTCTGTATAATGCAATTTGCCATTAGGAATACTTAAAAGTGACATTTAGTGGTTTCTCACCCTTTCAAATCCACAGAAGTTTGGTTTGTTGAACTAGAAGAAAATAGAATAGTAAAATTATACACATTACTGACTGGAACTGGGCAGCTGGAATATGTCTTGGCAGTATAAAAACTGTTGCCCACTGCATTTCTGGCTGCAATGAAATAAAGCTGGTCTTCACCAATAAAACCCCACAGGGCTTGGGATCAGGGTGTGAAATCAGACTTGCACCAAACCATCTAGTGACTGCAGTGAAGCTACCATTAGGAACTTTTTTACATGAGGTTTAAAGTGCCCTTGAGTTTCTCTTTCACTATTTATGTTACCATATGTTCCATGTAAATGCAGGGGAGGCAGGAAAGAGAGATATCGGTAAATGAGTATTTGAGTAATGAAGGTTTTACATTTATTCTACAAACAGATTGAAGCAAGAGCCACCTTTGCTTCAAGTGAGTGGGGCAATATTGTACTAAAGCCCTGACTGCCTCTTCAACTTTGCAAAGCACAGCTGCTTAAATGCCTGCCGGTGTCCCAGACCTACATTCTCCAATGAAACAAAGGGACAAAACTCTGCTGGGTGAAGCAAAAGCAGATGATGGTTTCAGTTTAAAAATGGCTGGTAGGAGAATCAGTCCCTTTCCCAATCACTCTTCCAATGCAGAGTGATCCCTGGATGGAGAAGAGTTTGCCAGGGCTTCATGATACACAGCTGTGGTGTAACGTATAGTCTGCTCCAGAAAACAACCTGTCTGTTTCTTCCTGAGACTACACCTCCTGCTATTTTACTGGCCTTTAACTGCAGCCTACATACTGAAATTAAGTGAGTAGTTTTCTTACTGCTATTAGCTGAGACTACGGAAGACCAGTGACCAGATCTTTTACGAAGCAGAAGGAGAGACTGCTGGCAGGTGGTGGGGATTTGGGTCATGGTTATAGAATAGAGGAGGGCTAATCCTTTTCCCCCAATGCCATATTCCTGATTTCAATTACCTCGTTTGCAGACTTTGCTGTTTGCCTGGTTAGGGGAAAACATGTAGTAAGCCTACTGTATTGTGCTCCTGTGCAGGGCTATTTTTGGGCAGGAACGCACAGGAATGGACTTCTGGCTGGCTTCAGAGTTGGCCATGCCCATTACAGCCAAAACCTCTGCATGCGTGGCTGCAGAGGGAAGGCCTGGAGAGGGCCCCCCCGGTGACTCTGAGGTGGGGGGGCCGGGGGGGGGGCCTGGAAGGACCGGGAAGGCATTTAAATGCCTCCCCATGCCTTCCCCAGCAGGTCCAAGGGCTGGTTTGCTCAGGTTCCCCAAAGCCACAGGCCGCCCAGGCAAGCCAAGGGAAGGCATGGGGTGTGTGGCCTAATATGCTAATGAGTTTCTGCTGTTGGGTGTGGCCTGTTATGCTAATGAGTTCCTGCTGGGCTTTTTCTACAAAAAAATCCCTGCTCCTGTGTATTCCCAGCTCTGGTGGCACTCACAGCGGAAGTGGCCTTTTCCACTTTTCACCAGGCCTGCAACTGATTTGTGCCGTGGGTTGCAGGGCCCACCACATGCTCAGACATGAGCCCTCGTGAGGGGCTATGGTGATAGCTATGAGCAGGTGCAGGTAGGATTGCCAACCTCCAGGTAGAACCTGGAGATCTCCTGTTATTACAATTGATCTCTAGATGACCATGTATAGCATGGCACAGATGGCAAATAAATAGGCCACCTTTGGAGACTCTATGAACTGGCAGCTCCCGTGTGCTGTAGACACCAGAAGTTTATCTTCAGCTGCCCAAAGGCCCATTTCATAACCATGCATACCCTCCAGTATGCCTGGCTGTAGGGGGATATATCTGCTGCCACTTCCTCAGGGCACGTTGTGAGCAGGTACAGCAGCAGTAAGTAGCCATAGTCTCCAAAGAGGAATGAACCACAAAGCTGAGACTAGTCAGCCATAGGCTGTGTCCTGCCATCTCTGCCACATACTCCTCCTCACCTAGGGGCCAGTCCCTGTTCTCTGGCCAAGTGGCCAGTGGTTGGTTCAGGCCAAAGGCTAGGGTTGCCAGGTCTCTACCTGGCATCCAGTGTGGGGGGGGAGAGCCAGGATGTCTGGGAGCTTTGTGTGCATGCTGTGTGTGCGCACACCATGATGACATCACCCAGAAGTGATGTCATCACACCGGGCATGTTGTTGAGGGACGCGCTAGCGTTCAGGATTAAAACTCTATGGTACAAGCAAAGATTGAAAAAGACCAAAACATTTCCAAAAGCTACTGAGATAGGAGATATTAATCCTGAGCATCTTGACAATTAAAAAGGCTAATTAGGAGTGCAGAGCTTACATTTTATACCAGAAGGACCCCTACTGGCTAAAGCAAAATTGTATGTTTTTGTAAAATAAGAAAGTTTAATTTAGATTTAATATCTTTAAAAATTCAATAAAAATCCCCTGATGGATTAAAATAAAGGATAACAGGTGGATTCAAGATATCTATAAAAGCTTTATGTCATAGGCTATTTTGGAACATTAGAAAGTGCATATAAAAAGTTTAATTCTTTGGAATATTATTATAATTTTATATTTTTCATATTTTATATATCTTTAGTGGGAATAAGCCTACAGAAATGTTATTAAGAGTGCTTTTTATATACATATATGCATGCATTGATATAGAGGAACCATATTATAATGGGAAAAGTTAGATTCTATACTTAGTATGAACTCAGCCTGTAAATTCATTCAGAGGTGAGCAAGTCTAGGAGAACAGCCAAGAGGATGCACATATCATCTTAACAAGACAGGCACCTGAATCTGTAAAGCTGAAACGCAGCCAGTAACATCTTGTTTGTCCAATACAAGATTAATGAATGTTAAGACAAAGAAAATTGAAGTACGCATGTGTAAATGATGTCACAGATGATATAAAATTGGGAAGAGTGACAAAAATATATGTCAGATCCCTGCTGTTACTCACTGGACATCTGAGCTAAACTTTTGGCTGCATGTTCTTCCTTATTCGAATAAAACTTTGATCTCACTGTGTGGTTTATTTGGCTAGCCACACAACTCAAAGAACCTTCGTGCCCTCAGGGCATTGCCTTCAATTCTATTACTTATGACCTGGGGTGTTTTCACACACACTAAAGAACACACTTTTGATCCACTTTCAATGCACTTTGCAACTGGATTTTACTGTGTCAAATGACAAAATCCACTTGCAAACAGTTGCTGAAGTTGGTTTGAAACTGCATTATTTCGCATGTCTGAAAGTGCCCTGCTAGATTTTTTGGCAAGGAAACTGTTGATATTTCTTATAATGTATGTTGAAGAAATCACAAGGACACTTCAGAATAAATCCTTTACTCACTAAAAATGTTAAAATAAAGTCCCAGTACACCATAAGCTCCTTGGGAGGAAAGCGATGGCGAACCTAAACAGCATGATAAAAAGCAGAGACATCACCCTGCCAACAAATGTCCACATGGTCAAAGCAATGGTATTCCCAGTAGTCATGTATGGCTGCGAGAGTTGGACTATAAGGAAGGCTGAGCGCCGAAGAATAGATTCTTTTGAACTATGGTGCTAGAGAAGACTCTTGAGAGTCCCTTGGACTGCAAGAAGATCAAATCAGTCAATCCTAAAAGAAATCAATCCTGACTGTTCCCTGGAAGGCCAGATAATGAAACTGAAGCTAAAATACTTTGGCCACCAAATGAGAAGGGAGCACTCACTGGAGAAGACCCTGATGCTGGGAAAGACTGAAGGTCAAAGAAGACGGGGACGGCAAAGGATGAGATGGTTGGACAGTGTCATCGACGCAACGAACATGAAATTGAGCCAACTTCAGAGGACAGCGGAAGACAGGAGGGCCTGGCGGGAGCTGGTCCATGGGGTCGCGAAGAGTCGGACTCGACTGTGCGACTGAACAACAACAACACACCATAAGCATCTGGGATATAACCAAGAACACAAACACTGATGGAGATGCACCTAAGTTTTACCCTTACCTCACTGTGTAAAATATACATGAATGGGACTGAGACCCTCTTACACAAATTAATAATGCAATCCTAGGAACATTTTCCTGGAAGTTAGCTTCACTGAATACATTTCAGTAAAATTGTGAGTAGGGTTGCCCTGTAAATCACTATGAGGGATGACCTTACTGTGAACACTAGAATTTTAAAATATGTATCAGTTAAAGCATATTTACGTACTTTTAATCGAAGGAAGTCTCCATAACGCAAATCTTCACTGATAAATAGTCCCAGAGTAGTAAGGAAGATTATACGAGTGTTGGTTAAAATGACATTCAAAAGTGCAAGTTCACCACAGTCTTAGGGGAGAGAAAAGACATTATGAGTTATCATTACAGTCATATTTATTCTGCTCTTGTCTTCTTTCATTTCATTGTACAGACATGTCAAAGTTATATATTTGAATATTAAATGTGACTCCTCTCTTTATTTTAATCCTTTTCTATCTGTTCTTCAATCCTGATGCACAATTTGGCTGGTTATTCCATATACTAGATATGCATTTGAGGAAACTCTGGTGCTATGGGACTGGGTGCTATCCCCTCAATGACACTTTCTGGTCCTCTATAGATTTTCAGCTTTGATTTTTTTTAAAAAATAACTTTCTAATCATATTTATTACGAAGACGAGGAGTAAGGCCCATTGTGGGAAGAAATACAATGAGTTCTAGAAGGAAGCTCCAGGTGAGTGTCCCGGCTGTGGCTGGAAGGGTGGCAGAGGGAAGGGGAGAATAGAGGGAGGCAAGCCATGTTTATTTCCTTCTGCTTAGCTATAAGGCAGGGCTGTCTCAAGTCATTTTGCTGCTCCAAGTGCGTAGTATGGGAGGACAGCCTCATAGTAACAGGTATGATTCTCTCCACCCCTAACTTATGTTGATCTGGGGTTATGCAGTGGCAGCTAAAGTAGAAAAGCACCTCTTCCTATGCCATGTCATCTGGGTCCCAAGGGTCTGGAAATCGGTTCCATAGCCAGTTACAGGGTTGCCAACTCTGGGTTGGGAAATACCTGTAGATTTTAGGGGTAGAACCTGGGGAGGGTGTCACGGCAGGGCCAGGGAGCGTGGGTTAAGCAAGTCAAGTCCAAAGCCAATCCGAGGTTCAGCCAATCATTCAAACAGCACCAAGGTTTAAACAAGTCCAAAACAGTTCACAAAGCCAGCGTCAAACATACCATACGTCAGAGTCCATAAATCAAGGAAAGCCAGAGTATCGCAGATCTGAAGTCGTGGTCAAGCAATGCCAAGAGTCAGGGAGCCGGAGTGTCAGGAGCAGAGTAACGAATGGTCAAGGTTTCAAAAAGTCCGGAGCAAGGTTGCACAGAGCGATTGGTCCTGTCAACTGAAGTTGCCAGCACAAATCACTTCCAGCAGCAGGTTTGTTGATATAGTGTGCTGGCTCATTAACTTGTTATCTTTCGTGGAGCAAGGTCAGGCTTCTGTTAATACTCAGGGCTGAACAATTGTTTTCCACGCATGTGTGCAGCCTTGCGTCTCTCGTTCAGCTCCTGTCTTCTTTGACTCCTGAGCCGGTTCACAGGTGGCGGGGAGTCGGGTGGCGAATTGCTTGTGTTAAGCAGAGCCTGATCTGGTGCAGGTGTCTCTTGGGAGGTTCTATCCTCCTCGAGACTTAGAGTGTCTTCTGTTAAAGGAGCCAGTTCTTGGCTGGCCGGCTCTGCTTCTGGGAGTATATCAGGGGCTTGTGGTGCCAAGTCCCCTTGTTCCTGGCTGTCAGCTGACACATCAGGGGCAGGCATGACAGAGGGCAGTGTTTGGGGTATGGAGGGACCTCAGCAGGGTATAATTCCATAGATTCCATTGCCCAAAGCAGCCATTTTCTCCAGGAGAACTGATCTTGGAGATCTCCAGATGCTGCCTGGAGGCTGGCAATACTAAAGGGAGGGCCAGACCTGTAGATTTGAGGGGTAGAGCCTGGGGAGGGCAGGGTTTGGGGTGTGGAGGGACCTCAGCACGGTATAATGCCATAGAGTCCGTTGCCCAAAGCAGACATTCTTTCCAGGAGAACTGAACTTGGAGATCTCCAGGTGCTGCCTGGAAGCTGGCAATACTAAGGGGAGGGCCAGACCTGTAGATTTGAGGGGTAGGGCCTGGGGGGGCAGGGTTTGGGGTGCGGAGGGACCTCAGCAGGGTATAATGTCATAGAGTCCACTGTCCAAATCAGCCATTGTAATAGCTGGGAAATTTTCTGTAGGGGAAATGATGTGCTGTGGCTGGGGAACACAGTGATTTCTGGGAGATCTTCAGGCCCCACAGGGAGATTGGCAACTCCAGTGAACATTTAACAGAAAATTGGGGTATGTATTTTACCTCAGGACACATTCAATGACTCCCAACAGCAACAACAAACTGTTTAAAATGTTAGAAGCAAAGGCCAATCAGACCACATATGCAAATGACCTCTGTGTTCCGACTGTCTATTGGGGGGAGAGGAACAGCAAACTGTTTAGAATACTGGAGGCAAGTCTCAGGCAATGCAGCCAGTGGATAGGGACAGTTTCTGAGTGGCAGATCAGGGAGTCAACTAGGGTTGCCAAGTTGACTCACCCCTCGGAGCGGGGGAGCCTTGCCGGCGTCTGGGAGTTCGTGTTTGACGCACGCGCGCCGGCAGCACATCACAGGAAGTGACGTGTTGCGTGCTCACATTGGGGGTGTGGCCCACATTGTCGGGGGGGGGAAACCATATGGTTTTCCCCCTGACAATGTGGGCCGGCTCGAAACCAGGGGGAATTCCGCCCCCCGGGGGGATTTGGGACCCCTACACACTATACTTCGGGGGGCGGAGTTCCCCCCGGGGCCCGATTTCCGCCACGGCGGAAATCGGGCCTCCGAAGCGGGGGATTCCCCGCCCCCTGCCCCCATTTGGCAATTCTAGAGTCAACAGATTTGGGAGTGTGTGGAATGTTCAGGAAAGTGCCACCACCAAAACAGGATTATTATATAGAGAGATATAATACAATGAAAGCACATACTAGTAGGGGATTATGATGCTGACATCAGCAAGCACAGCAGTGACCAGATCCACAGGGACAGCAGTAAATGTATTTCCCATAACTAACTTTCCTGGATGCTGCTTTGCTCACTAATGGCTGCACCTTGGGCCTGGACTTTGAGGGCATGTTAAGTGGTTTATACCTTGGAAAGACCAGACTTTAGGGAGGATATAAAACAAACAGGTTGTATTATTTTTCTTCATTTTCTCACAGTTCTTGTCCTTCTAGTCCTCAGTTTCTTGCCCTCACCTTTTTTTTGCATTCCCCACAGCCTCATGGGCAACATGCTCCCGAACATCACACACTCTACAGAAGATCTAAATAGAAAAATCTCAGCACAAAAAGGGAAGAGTCTGAAGGATGCAATGCCACAGTGCTAGCAATGACACCTGGAGACATGGATTTGGGAAAGGAGTTCTGTTGCTCATAATTTGGCTGTTCCTTCTTCCCCTACTTTTCCCTCTGCCTAATTTAGATTTAAAATATTTGGACCAAGGAACTGTGTATTTTAATATATCCACCAAACTGTTACATGCCCTAAGTCCATAGAATTGGGCAGAGTATAAATTTAAAAAACCCAAATACAAATATTATAATAATGTATTTAGAATTAGAAGGCATTACCATAGTCAAGGAGAACACAAATATCATCTGTCATATTAGTCCAATATATATCCCGAGTTGTAAATCCAGACAAAGAGATTCCTATATATATTCCTGTGAATAAAATAAATAGCCATAAGAAAACAGAACCACAGTATACAACTAGGTTCCTAGCATTTAATTATACCTACTATTCCTATCGGTAAGACAACCTACCAGGGCCACCCCAAAAGCAGGAGGTTTTCTATACTTGGAAGGTATGTAAAACACAATTACACTGTAAACTAAAGAGGAGGTGGAAATCAAAATTTCCAGTTAGCACTAAGCATTCTCATTACCTCTAGGGACCCACAGAATGTTGGGCATAGAGTTAGGGGACACGTACATTGTCAGGTGTGCATACCCTGACCCTATTGTCCCCTCTGCTACTGGTCTATGATGATGTACGCTTTTGGGGTCTCTGACCATTTTGATCAGAAAAGAGTCTATTAATTACCCCCCCCCTAACATTTTAGGCTGTGAATGCAGCAAAATCTGATTGAAGATATCTGGGACTTTAACTTCGTTTGAGGGCAGACATGGGCAGGCAAGACTGGGGCCAGGAACTCATGAAATGAACTCATGAGCTATATTTCTGTATCCTTGTGACTGGAATTCGCAGGACTGGTTCATATGTTGAATGCTTCCATACCACTGTGGAAGCACATCTATCGCTATTTGGAGATAATGTGGTGTGAATTGAGTGTATTCATGGTCATGAAGCACAGCCCCAATAATGGACATGGCAGCCAGCCTGCAGGGACTCACTACCAGTACTTTGCATTTCATACTACCCTTTGGCTATGCGGTCATGCATTTGCATGTACCATCAAATGGAGAAAGTCAGTACTAGGAACCATCCCCGCAGTGTGCTGCATATTCAGGCTTGTGTATAGAAAAACAGGTTGCTTACCTGTAACCAATATTCTTTGAGTGGTCCTCTGTGCAGGCACACATATAAGATATCACATATGGGATCCCAAGTGTGCACATGCAAAGCCCTTGAACTTATAAGAGTGACATAAACCTTTGGGCATGAGCCAGTCCCCACTCACAATGGCCCCTTATCACAAATGCCCATTGTGGACAGAGCCATGCTCACCCATCAGTTCTTCCCAATGACGCAGCAGGTTACATTACACACACCTGTTATGGAGAAGGCTAGCTGGGTTGTGTGACTTCACAGATGACCACTCAAAGAACATCAGTTATGGATAAGCAACCTGTTTTTCCTCTTCATGGTCTCTGTGTATGAACTGCAGACATTGCATGAGGTCTGAATGTTATTTCTTTGCATTCACCTTCAACCCCAACCAATCCAGCAGCTGCCGTGTTTTCTGTAGATGCTGAAGCAAAGTCTGGGCAGTCACATGAACTAGCAGCCAGCCATCCAGGTTAGGACAGACTACAATTATCTTCTTACAAATATATGCTGTCACTACTGCCATACGTTTTGTTAATTTGAATGCTTCTGCCCCATGTACTCTTTGTCACCTCGAATACCAGTGGCAGTACTGGCAAAATTACTGGGGCCTGGGCAGTGGAGTCCTAATACTGGATCTGGAACTGGTGGTGATGGTTGTTTCATTTCCTATCCCAGTGCTTCAGCCATTTTTGTGATCTGTTCAGTACACATTTTAAAGTCCTCTTATGGTGAAGGAGGCTTTTGTTCAGTACACATTTTAAAGTCCTCTTATGGTGAAGGAGGCTTTTGTTCAGAAACCAGAGGACAGCTCTGCTGGAAGTGAAGGACTTTGCATGGTCTTGTAGCCTCAGAGAGGGACTATGGAGAGTCAGAGAGATACATAGGTCAGGATCCTGAGCATCCTTCCTTCCTACTGCTCTGCTCTCAGGGAATCTTCCTTCCTTCCTGTGGACACCTTTTCTCCACACTCCTTTCCATCTTGGCACCATGAAGGCAGGACATGCCCCCTGCATCTCTACCCATCCTAACTGGTTAGACTAGATTAGAATCCTGTTTCTAATCTATCCTGCCTAGAATGGAGTTCTTTATAAGAAAGGACTCATATTAGTTTTTCACACCTTGTTTCTTAGCAGCACACACAGATTCTGCTGTGTTATGTGCCTTGAGCATTCTGCTGACTCTTGCTCAAACTCTTGCTCTCCATCCAAGAATGAAAATAGTGCAACAGCAGGCAGAAACTCAGGATGGTATATGTTTGCATGTGAAAGCTGCAGGACTTCTTTCTGTTTGTGTACATAGTCTATTTGTTCTACAGAGTGGAAATTGTGTTGTGTAGACTGAGGAAAATTTTGCTTGGCTAGTTGAACTTCCAGATTTAAACACTACACTCTCTACATGGTGATCCAGCAAAATTCTCCTCTCAGTCTAGAGTGCTGGCGCCCTCTTGAGGCCAATGCGTGGAATACCTTGACTCACAAAGCTGACAGCAGGACTCCCTGCAGCGCTGAAGCAAAGACGTTAGGCTGGAGCCTCTGTAACTTGAAGAATAACATTCTCGAACCCAAGCATGGCAATTATAATAGAGTGTTTCTAGACCTATAAGATCTTCCATATCTCTCTCTGCAAGAACTGGCCCTGTCAAAGCCATGATGACTGCAGATCTCAAGAAGAGGCACAACTTCTGCCTTGATGCACGTCTCATTATCCCTTATTTCTTTGATAGTGGGCTAGTATTTGGATGGGAGATCAGCAAGGAAGTCCAAGGTCACTATGCAGAGGAAGGCAACGGCAATTTGGCAAACCACCTCTGAACATCACTTGCCTTGAAAACCTTACAGGGTCACCATAAGTTGGCTGCAACTTGTCAGCGCTTTCCAGCTTTCTCCTGCCCCTGCAATTGATGCTTTGCATCCCAGTCTACTAAAGCACCTACTAATGTATCTTTACTCTGCCTCCTGAAAGGGCTGCTGCCAGTGATCTTGACAACTCCTCCAGCAACTGACTGGACCTCTGATGACCTCTATTCCCCATATCAGCACTGATTTTTGTGGTGCCACTGAAGTGTTGGTGGGTGGAGGAGGAGGAGGAGGAGGAGGAGATTGGATTTATACCCCGCCCTTCACTACCCAAAGGTGTCTCCGAACGGGTTACAAACTCCTTTCCCTTCCCCTCCCCACAACAGACACCCTGTGAGGTGGGTGGGGCTGAGAGAGCTCTTCACAGAGACTGCTCTTTTTCAAGAACAGCTGTGCCAGATTTATGGCTTGCCCAAGGTCATCCAGCCAGGTGCAAGTGGAGGAGTGGGGAATCAAACCCGGTTCTCCCAAATTAGAGTCCGCGCACTTAACCACTACACCAAACTGGCTCACCAAACTAGTGCAGATGATGCCCCATATTTCAATCCGTTTTATGGTCACTTGCTAACTCCTCTGAAGGAAGACATTTAGTAGCCTCTGGTTTCTGCTTCTGTGTCTTAAGCTCAGCAGCAGCAGCAGCAGCAGAGTAGGTTTTTATGCCCTGCTTTTCTCTATTCTAAGGATTCCTCAGAGTGGCTTACAATCACCTCCTCTTCCTCTCCCACAACAGGCACCTTGTGAGGTAGGTGGGGCTGAGAGAGTTCTGAGAGAACTGGGACTGGCCCAAGGTCACACAGCAGGTTTCCTGTGGAGGAGGAGTGGGGAATCAAACCTGGTCCTCCAGATTTTAGAGTCTGCCACTCTTTGTGAAAGAGCTCTATTTCTGCTGATTAGACAGGGAGTTATCTGGTCTTAGATTGCTCGCTATCAATGCTGTGGACTCTGATGCCAGGGCTGGCATCTTTGGGACCATGGGCAAGGATGCAGCCATTTGGTCTGAGGCAAGATCTTTCCCCCACGATAGTCTGTTATCACGATTACAGCTAGCTTGTTTTGTAAACTTAAGGCAATGCTGCCGGGAGTCCACTTATGCTCCTTCCCTAAACATCAAAGACAAAGCCTGCTGGAACGAGCTCCCGGAAGAGATCAGGGCCCTGCAGGACCTCTTACAGTTCCACAGGGCCTGCAAGATGGAGCTCTTCCACCAGGCCTTTGATTAGGAGCCACCAGGGGTCATTTGGGGGGGACGCGGGGGGACGCCATCCCCCCCGGGTGAGGTGCGGGAGGGCGGGGCCTGGAGCTCCCTGCTGGTGCCAGCTGTGGGGAGGACACACTTCCGGTGATGTCAGAGGGTGTGGCATATGCTAATGAGTTATGCTAATGAGTCCCCCTAGCTCTTTTTCTACGAAATGACCCCTGGGAGCCACAGTAAACTTCTGAGAAGTGACCCTGTGCCCTGACCTACAGCTCACAGTCTGTGTCCACCGCACATATAAATGGATCAACTGAGCTGGTGCAAGAATAACATCATGGTTGTCACCTAAGGAACACTGTTTAATCTGAAACGTCTGCTCTCGCACTTTGTTTGAACCCTGTTCCAGCACTTTAGGGTAATTAGTTTTAATTGTTGTGGTGTTTTATGAATAATTTTAATTGTATTTATATATGTATTTTTATGCAAGCCGCCCTGAGCCTGCTTTGGCAGGGAGGGCAGGGTATAAATCGAATAAAATAAATAAATTTGTCTGTGGATGAGATTTTCCCCTTGTAAGCAGAACAATTCACAAATGTTGAGCGCTGCGCCGGAGTACAATTTCCTTTGCTCCTTTCTTTCATGGTATTTAAATAGATAGTTTGAAGAAACTGAGAATGAGAAGGTCCCTCTAGAAGCAGCAGCTGCTGCAGCGGTTAAGGAAGAAATTATGGGTTAGCATGGCTCTGACCATACTGGGTGCTCACAATGAGCATCTGTTGTGGATGGGGAGGTTCGTGCTCAAACTCTGATAGCTTTTATAGCTTTTGAGGCTCTGCATGCACACACTTGAAATCCCAGAAGAACTGCATTTTAGAAATGACTAAATATTTAAATATAAATCTATCAGATAAATTAAGCAGTTTAGAAGAAGAAGAGATTGGATTTATACCCCGCCCTTCACTTGGAGTCTCAGAGCGGCTTACAAACTCCTTTCCCTTCCCCTCCCCACAACAGACACCCTGTGAGGTGGGTGGGGCTGAGAGAACTCTGACACAAACTGCTCTTTTTCAAGGACAGCTGTGCCAGAGCTTGTGACTGACCCAAGGTCACATCAGCAGGTGCAAGTGGAGGAGTGGGGAATCAAACCCGGTTCTCCCAGATCAGAGTCCGTACACTTAACCACTACACCAAACTGGCAGAACAACATAGAGTGCAGTTGTCCAAAGAGAAATGACTGTTGCTGTAGTGGGTGGGTACGAGCTATATGAGAAGTCTGATGAGAAGACTGTAAAGGGAAGACGTGTTAGGTGAATCTTAACTATCTGGTTCAAAAACACAACATCTGGGAATACCCAATGTGATTCCCCCCACCCACTGTCAGAGTCCCACGCACACAGTCCCAACACCAGCACTTTATAAAGTTCAGTTTATTGAGAAAGGTGTTGGGGGATGAACTTATTATTTGTTTTTATGTATTTGTGTATTTACTGATGTGCACTCACACATCCATGGACTGTGCCTACTAACACCCACAGGCTAAGGGAAAGCTGTTTGCATTATTGCTTCACCTGGAAAGGACCTTGCCTGCATTTTATGCTAATGGGATTTGCACTCTCACAGCCCAGCCTCAGGAAGAAGGCTGTATCGCCATTGTGGAATGCACAAAACAACAACTTTTATGGTTGCAACCACCATTGATGAACTGTTAGTGAACATGTAACCCTGATGTCTGGTTTGCATCCAAAGGGACAGTTTCCTGACAAATGGGCACTTTATTGCTTGGGACCAAGAAAGAGTCATTTACACTTCGATGGTTGCCCTGGGTATCCAACTTTACACCTTGACCAGATGCATTCCTTGAGTTAAAGGTTTAGATTTCAATATTGCCCACTCCTTCTAGTTAGATACGTCACTAAGTATAGCCAATAGTGTTAGTTCTTGGGACGGACCACAGGTAGGTGGGACCAAGGAGGATGGCACAGATGCCAGCCCCCAAAGACCCCCCCTATAAAAAGCGAGGTTCAACAGTTTGAACCCTGCTAGCCATCTTCTCTCCTTAGCTATTTACTCACAGTCTTGCTATATAAGTAATCCTTTGTTCTTACTCGATCTTTTGGACTGCAGCCAAGAGATCCACACGTGTTGGCAGGTTCCAACTGTGTGAATTAGAATTTCTTTAGTTATTCTGTCTTTATTCCTGTATTCTTCATTGGGAAGGTCAAGCTTCGGATCAGATAAGTATTTGCTGTTTCCCTCCCCATCCATTTAGTGTAAAAGTGATTGTTTTCTATTCCTGTAACACTGAGGATCTTGTGTGATTGCGTGTGAGATTCTGTTTTTGTTTGTATGTTAACCAAATATTATTCAGTAAAAAGAACAACTTGATTTTAAGATACCAGTCTCGTCTCCCTATATTTCTGGGAAAATCCTCGGGGTGGAATTGGACTTCTGTATACACAGGCGAGGACCCCGAAAATATTTTAATCTGGCCTGTGTTGTAGATAAAGCAGTTTGGCTAACAAAGGTACATGGTGGTCATCTGTTACACAGGGCTTGTGTCAGGAATAAGGAATAACGGGGAAGGTGGAACACTTATACCTGGTTCATACCGGACCCCCTGGGGAAAATTAGCCAATAAGCAAAAGCAAGCAAGCGCGCCTAATACAACGGCTATTACTTCCCAGCGGGAAAAGCCAAGCTAGCATAGCAAAGCCTCAAGGACACCTGCAAGATAAGGCGGCAGAGAGATGAGTTGGACACATTCCAATCCACAGCGTAGTACTCCTCCTACCCCCTCCCAGTTGCCATGGCAGCGTTAGCTGGCACTCACGATCTACCTCTCATTGCCACTTCTGACCCTTATGTAACACTCCTAGAGCAACTGTATTGTACTCTACTGTAAGGTAACAGTCTATTGTGTCTCTTTCTTTCATCCGCATCCAAGAGCTTCTGTGAACTACTGATTGGTCCCGAATAATCAGCTCCTTGATTTTTCGCAACAGCACACCATTGTCTGAAAGTAAACAGTAAGCAAAAAAACTGAAATCCCAGCTTTATAGGCAAAGTACATTGCCAGTCGTGAGAAGAGTAGACCCATGAACTGCTTTATACCACTGGTCCATCAGGGTCAGTATTTTCTATTCAGACAGGCAGCAGCTCTCCAGGGCCTCAGGTGGAGGTCTTTCACATCACCTTCTACTCAATCCTTTAAACTGGAGATGCCAGGTATTGAATCTGGGAACTTCTCCATGCCAAGCGCATGCTCTGCCACTGAGCCATAGCCCCTCCCCATGGAGAGCAGCATTCTTCACCAACTGAAACTTCTACATCACTTTCAATTACTGCCCACGTAGAGTAGACTGCAATGCACATTACAAGCAAAGCATCATTCAAGTCAGTGTAAGGAAGCCCTGGATGCCACCTACTTTGCTTCCTATTTTGCTACTACTGCAAATTCAGCCTAGATCTACCCCAGCTGTTTGGACTGGCAGAAAAGAATCGTACCAGGAATATTCTCCAGCCTGTTCCAACCAAGGGAGGTACTCAAAGTGTGGCTATTTATGAGTGTGACTAACTATAAATTTATGAACTGGCCATTTCCCAGTACTATTCAGGGTCAAACTAGGTGTTACACACAAAACCTTTAAAACCTTCATGAACAAGTGCTTGGTTGGAACCCTGCATTGCGGGGGGGGGGAGCACAGAGGTAGATTTGGAACAAACACAAAATGGCTGTCACCAAAAGGATCAGGCAATCTGAACCCTGATCAACATTGCATTCTCAGCTTCTGAAAAGATACTGCAAACAGAGCTTCTCGCACTCACAACATGCCATTTGCCCATAACACCAGCATCTTATGAGACTGCCCACATATTTGACTACCTTCTATAACTCTTATTTCTGTATCTCCTATTGCATCTGCAACCTGAGTTTTATCTTCAGCTTTCTGCCACTTACTAAGAAGTAAAGCGGTCTAAGGAACACTTTCATTCCAAGCTGATATGGAAAGGTAATAGCCACACACCAACAAGCAGCAAATCCATCACTCCCCAAGGAGTAGGATGTATGCTAGTTACAGCCCTGGAAAATGCCTCTCAGTGGTTTCACACACATGTTAGATACTGTGGGAAATATTACCCTAAACACAGTGGTGGAGGGAGGAAGGCAGGTGACATTACCAAACCCACACCCACTGAGTTCATTCTGTCAAAAAAGCAAAGCCTAATGAGACCTATCAGCATTTCAAGCTCCTGTCAATAGCTATCAAGATGTTCAGGAAAAATCAATGGAGGATCATGCCTTCAGGTGTATATGTGGAGTCAGAAGAATAAATGACCTAATGTTCCTTTGAGCCTGACCATGGAGACATGTTTCCATGAAGCAGACCTTGTTATGTATGAGGCTTCACGCAGCTCATTTAACAAAGTGATTCAGCTTTATTGTAGAAGTCCCGAACGCAGGCAACACAAGACAATCAATCATAGAACAGGCTGACTTATAAAGGATTGGAAAGGGCAAAACCATGCACAACACACGAATAATAACCAATGAGAACACAGGGCTTAGGACCAATAAGAGTGGTTCCCGCCGAAAGGCAAGGCTTACCTGATTGGCTCATTTGACAAACCTTACAATGCTATACTTATGATTACAATGCATAGATGGTTCAATGCTTAATACATAACAGACTTTGTAAGAACTAGATATAGCCATTAGCAGAACATACTCCTGAGAAACAGAAGCTCAGTAGTAGTTCAGTAGATGCTGCCTGCACTTGTCTATTGACTACACTGCACTTACCATTAAGGTCGTCTTCAAATATCAAACCAATTATAGCCACATCACTTGCACAAGGACTTTTTGTTACTGTGATATTTATGACATTGGGTATCAATGCAGATATATTCAGTGGATCAGATAATATCCACTGAAGAATAGGCTCTGTGAAAAAAGAAGAAAACATGCAATTTGATGTGGAAGAAAGCGGGAAAGCGGGAATGAATACAGTTTACTTATGCTTTAAAAAAAAGGAAAGCATCATTGGCTGCGGTCACATGGAGCATTTGCCGCACTGACGATACGGATGGTAGGCGGATTTTCCGGGCGCGATCAGACCGCAACATCTGGGAAGCGTAGAGCTCCCGTGGCTAACACGAGGCTTCCCGCCGAAGATGCGGAGTAAAACACTAGTACCTCCGAGGTACTAGTTTCCGGAAGCCGTAGGGCAAGGGCGGGCATCTGATCGCATTTCCGGTGGACTTACGTGGCATCCGGCACCTGCCGCTGTTCGTCGCACACAAGGGGTTTTTTGTCTCCCAAGTCTCCGCAGGTTGCGCAACAGCGCCCAACAGCGCATGCGCACAAAGAGCGATTGCTAGTGCGATCGCGCGGCACGGCTTCTGTGCCGCGCTGCAGGATACCTGTCTGGTCAGCATCTCCCCCCTAACCACGGGACCTTGACCGGGACATGTGCTCGGGCGGCCGGGCGTTACTTTCCTCCGGGGCAATTAGCCACGCCTCCCCCCGTGATATCTGGCCCGTGTGACCGGGGCCATTGATTGGTAACAGTACTAGACTATACCATTGAAATTTGTGGGGCTGAGTTACACACAAACACCTATTTGTGCAATTTTCTGTGCCTACTGTTTTTGAAATGCTCCTGACATACCGGTGGTTTGTTATTTGAATTATGTGCACAGAGAAGCAAAAATGCTTGCATTGCTAGATAATAGTCATTGTTATTTATGGACTACAGCACAACTTCAAAAATGCCACGAGGTCTCTCCTCCACCCCGACTTTCTGCTGTTTAAATCTTTTATTGGCTATATAACTTTGAGAAGAGCTGCTTCCACATGGTGATGATTTTTTCAGATTATATTCATCACCACTGTGAATCCTGAGACATGTGCTTTGGTGATGGAGTTTCTACACACAGTTATCTGCATTTTTTTTTTTGCAGTTTGTATAAACTTTTCCTTTCCACATGTGCACTGTGAAACTTACATGCAACCATGTAAATAATGCTATTTTTACAAGGGAGCCAATAACTGCTCCACAGGGCAGTTTGCAGGAGTGAAAGAACATTTTGGTCACAGAGAACAGCTGGTATGCAAGTGGGAGACACATTGCATGCACAATACAAAGTCCTCACTCCTTAAACATTAAGACTTTCTGATGCCTAGATGGAGCCTTGCAAGAGCCATTTGATGTTCCTTTTTCATGTTTCTTTAGATTGTTTAAGACACAATTATTTACTTCATTTATAGCCCGTATTTCTCGCTGAGACTGAACACTGATTACAGGTGATAAACAGTGCAGTCAGACAGTATAAGACAACTAATGAGCAATGCAATAGGACTAGGATTGCAGAATTAGGCAACAATGCAAACAAGAAATTAAGGTAGGTAAATTTTAAGTAAACTCTGCCCTGTGGATTCCATGATGTAGAAGTTGCATACCCCACCCCAAATTCTTAAATGGATACAGTCTTCCTTTTTGATGCACATGTATGCACCAGACTACCTTGATGTTATGTGCTGTTATTCTAAGTGTATTTCCCATTTTCAGTGACATGACAAACAGAACCTGCACAATGGGTATCCAGTATGGAATTTAAATGCTTCTTAGGCAACAATGCCATTCTTGTTAAAAATTTAATTCCAGACAATTGCCTTCTCTACTAGTTTTCTGTGTTTGGCTTAGTCTTGATTCTTTTTTGGTCTACAAACCAGAGAATTACATCTTCAACTTACTTTAATATACGGCAATTTATGAAAAGGATGAATCAACCAGGTGGGCTTTCTCTCCAAATACAGTTGAGAAAACCAACAGTCAGCTTATGAATATGTTCAGAAGGCTTTCACCAAATGAATATGAAGTGCTTAATTTCCCCATGGTCATAATAATTTCTTAAAAACACCACACACGCTATGTTTTACCTCGAGCAGTGTCCAGTAGAGTTCCCTCAGTAGTAAACATATTTAATCCATGATGCATATTGAATTTTACATACCATTGTTCTGTTGGAGCAATATCTGCTTTAACAGCATGAAGAAGACAGATTAGTCATATAAACAGACAAGAATGAAGTCTATAAACTCTTTTCATATTTTAGCTATTTTGGGTATGCTGTTTAGTGGACCTTTCTATGAACATACCTGTGGCTGTGGGTACCTCAGTGGTGCCAACGGTACTTCAGAAGAACCCAAGAGCTATTACACTGTATTTTAAGGTATGTATTTTCAGGTATGACCCATCTGGAATCCCCTGACTCCATCACAGGATAACACTTGGCTTGGAACCTTTTGTCATTTTGTGGCTGGCCTCATTTTCTGGTTTTCTGGGCCTTCCCAGGGGAATTGTTTTGAGGTGATGCTCTTCTCACATTGACACAGAGAGTGCTCCATCTTTCTGTGTTATACCTCTGAGGATGCCAGTCACAGCTGCTGGTGAAACCTCAGGTACTACAATGCCAGGATGGCCATCCAGCTCGGAAAATCTACAACTAATGAACTCCGGCTATGAAAGCCTTTGACAACATATAGCGTCTACAAATGCATGATATTTTAGATATGCTAAAGATAGGATACTCATACCTAAATAACCACCTTGTAGCCAGCTAAGGAACCATCAATATATGAGGAGGAGAGGAGAGGAGATTGGATTTATACCCTGCCCTTCACTACCCAAAGGTGTCTCAGAGCGGCTTACAAACTCCTTTCCCTTCCCCTCCCCACAACAGACACCCTGTGAGGTAGGTGGGGCTGAGAGAACTCTGACAGAGACTGCTCTTTTTCAAGAACAGCTGTGGCAGAATTATGGCTTGCCCAAGGTCATCCGAGCCAGGTGCAAGTGGAGGAGTGGGGAATCAAACCCGGTTCTCCCAGATTAGAGTCCGTGCACTTAACCACTACACCAAACTATATGAGGAAAATATAATAAATTTATAGCAAACTCTCACCTGTATTATGTGCAATGTCTTGCCGGGGAACGTTAAGAGACCAGGTAAGCTGATCTTCTGCCTTTTGGTTCCAAAATCACAGCAATAAAGATTTTAAGTCTTATACTGTTAGAAGAGTCACACCTTTTAAATGTACTACAATGCAATTTGATTTTACCATTTTCTTCCCATCTACAACAACAGTGCTGAAGCATATCAGAGAGCAGGCACCAACTCTTCCTTCTGGCAAGCTGCCACTGTGGTTGTAGCCAGCAAGGTAAGGAACCTAAGAGCCTCCTAGGTTCTGCTTCTAAAACAGCATGCTTTGAGATCTTTGGCCCTTTACAATATTGACACGAACAAAAAGGGGGGGGAGGGGAAAAGGGAAAAAAGGGGGGGGGTGAAAGAAAACTCAACCCAAAAAGCTGCTATGAATCCACAAGGGTTAAGCTGACACTAAATATTATAAAAATACAAAATTTATTCAGGTGTACACATTTTTAAAAAACGTACTCATTAAAAATATTCACATTCAGACATAAAAAACTTCTCAACATTCATACACAGTTGGGTTAGTGCTGTGCAACTGAACCAAATGCGTTTCGGCCCCAAAGGGCCTTCCTCAGTTGTCACAATCCAAAATACAAACTTGACATACATTCAAAAAAGTTTTTTTAAACATCAGATGTTAAGTACATATGCAATATAAGGCCAGATATTGTATCCTTATATATTTATACGTATATTATTGTTGTATATGATAGGCCTCAGGTATAGCCAATTAAAGTCCACCAATACTTCTGGTAGCATAGATTTGCGTGAGTTGAATGTATGCCACTCCATGCACAGCACTAACCCATCTATGTATGAATGTTGAGAAGTTTTTTATGTCTGAATGTGAATATTTTTAATGAGTCTAAGTTTTTAAAAAATGTGTACACCTGAATAAATTTTGTATGTTTATAATATTTAGTGTCAGCTTAACCCTTGTGGATTCATAGCAACTTTACAATATTGAAACAAATGCAAAATGCACCTAGATTTTGCAGTCAAAGCTCCATGATTAGGTCACTAGACTTCTACTCACTATCAGTTTTACATTTTCAGGGAGAAAGTTTTACATACCGTGTTTCCCCGAATATAAGACACTGTCTTATATATATTTTTTCTCAAGAAGACACACTAGGGCGTATACCACAAATGCATAGAAATCCTGCTAGGGCTTATTTTTGGGGTAGGTCTTATTTTCGGGGAAACAGGGTACATTCCTCCTTAAAAGTTGTTTTGAGGAATCTGCTATTCCTAGTGAGATTCCACCCACCCAACCCAATTGCTTGCTAATTCTATTTTAACAAAGTTGCTTTGTAATAATGTTATGTTTTACCAGAAGCATTTTGAAGTAGAAAACTTTTGAGTAGCTACTGTTAAAGATCTCTACGGTGGGAGCAAGCCCTGCTGAAGTATACAGTACTAGGTTCTTCCTTTTGTTTTGATCAGAATCTATCTCATGCTTGTCAAACAAATGACAGGAGACTTCCTGTGGAAAGAGGAAGAGAATAATCATTACTGATATCTGAGTCACATCTAGCATGATCAAAAACCTTAAATGAAAACCTGATACCTCCAAATGTTCATGCAACAATACATTTCTTAGGCTTTTAAGCTGTCACACACTTCTTTAAGCTGTTACCAATTAACACAGCTACTATTCCTGTAAATGATTTTTTTAAAAATTCAATTTACAAACACACAAACATAAAACATAAACTATGATAACCTACAATAATCTAAATCATATCTAGAACATAAACAATCATTTACAATAATCTACAACCACAATCATCTACAATAATCTAAATCATATATAGAACATAAACAGTCATGTAAATCATACCAAAAAATTACAATCATCTAAATCATATAACTATTGATCACTATTTTTCACTTCTATGTATCTTTATTCTATCTTTTTCATCTACATATCTAATATAATTTTGTTACAAATATATATTGCCTGACTCTTTTTATCATTTTCTATTAATTTAAATTTATTATTGATTTTAAGCTATACTTTCTTTTATCTTGAAATTCTGATGTGGGTCTGTTATGTATATAAGATATTAATTTTGCCATTGTCACATATAATTAATAAAATAAAATTCTTATTCCATTCCTTCAGATCTGAACATCTTTCTGCCTTCCATTTTGCTGCAAAGATTACTCTTGCCACTGTCACTGCATAATTAAATAATTCACTGGATATTTTTGTAATATCGTCTGGTAAAATATTTAATAACATATATTTAGGATCTATCACAAACTTGAGTTTTAATATCTTTTGCATTTCTTTGTGTATCTCTATCCAATATTTTTTCCTCTCTTGTATTTCCACTACATATGATAAAATGTTGCATCTGTATTCTGACATTTCCAGCACTTCTCATTATATTCTTTATTAGTTTTTGCGATATCTTTGGGAGTCATATACCATTTGAAAACATTTTATACTAATTCTTCCTTAATATTTGACATTCAATAAACTTAATCTCTTTAGTCCATAGATTTTTCCACTGACTCATGTGTATATTTTCTCCAAAATTTTGCATCCATTTTATCATACAGCTTTTTACTTGCTCTGTTTCAGTGTCATATTGCAGTAACATTTTATAAATTTTTCCTAAGGTGTCTTAAATCTCCACTGATTAATTTTTCAAAAGTCATTTTCTTCCTTTGTCAACCTCCTTCTTTAGCTATTTGTTCTTTGAATGTGAATACCATTTGATGATATAACAACCACAGAATGTTTTTTCCTTCATCTTGAACTACTTGCCAAGATTTTATTTTTCCTTGTTTTTCTCATACATTATATGATCAATCTTCTGTCTTGTACTATCATCACAATAATCAACTGAGATGTCAATGGTGAGGTTGGGGGACTTATTCTGTTTCTATGCTGAAACCATATTCTTAATAATCCATCCATCATGATTGCCATCTTGTCTTTGAATAGTTTTTAATGAATTATTAGTTCATATATAACTGTGGATTCCTTTTTAGTATCCTCTCCCATTTAATATTCCTTCTATTTGAACTTGTAATCCAGACTGACACTCAGACTAATGCGATTGCTTGGCGATACAATTTAGTATTTGGTACAGCAGCTAAACCTCTTTTTTTCATTCTGTAATATTTTAAATCTTATTTTTGGGAACACAGCTGCTATTCTCACATTCACAACTGTTTTTCCTCTTCTGTGAATAGTATATGCACATTAAGGGACATTTTTCCAGTGTACGGAAGCTTTTTAAAAAGCAAGGCAAGAAGGAATTTGTTTTAAATAGAAGATAAAATCTCAGGAAACAAGAAAGACATAGGAATGTCTTTCCACACCCCTCTCTCCTCCAGGCCTGTAGGGGGTCATCATTGACATGGGGGGTGTCTGGCTGTTAGGTCCACATCATCTTAACCAATAAAATGCACTGAGTGATGCCGGATGTCACAGATGAGGTCCAGCAATTACATGGCACTGGGTGTGCTCTAGGTCGGCCATTTTCCTGCTGGGGTTTTTGGATCCCCTGTCCCCGGCTCCTGTTTCCTACCAGTGCTCCGACAACTGGCAGGAGAAAAATAATTTTTTTAAAAATACCATCAGCAGTGGCATGAGATCAGTTTCAGGGAAAACTCGGAAGTGACTTCAGTCTAGTCTAGGAGTCACCAGAAGCTCTACAGATTTAGCATAGTTTCTGGTGAATTCTAGAGAGATGTGACACTAGTTCCAGGTTCCCCCAGAAGTGACCCCACATCATTGCTGACAGTGTCCCCCATGTCTCCACCCACCCCTGCACTCCCACCAGTTGCTAGCTGCTAGCAATCCTAGTGAGCTCCTGTTATGTACCACATGATATCTGGGTGTGGATGCAACTGTGGGCCTTTGAAGAGATGGGACATTTACCAGACTAAAAAATAAAAGTAACATGGAAATTAGCCATGTGCTAAATGTACAATGCAGCTGAACTTTTAGTGCCTATTATTGTCTCACATCTTCTGTTTATATTGTAGTAGTTGCCACAAGTGGGTATGCATAGAAGACTTAGCAGAAGCCATACATCTGCAATATGGCACACCATCTGCTTTCCAGGGGAAGATTATTTGCCTACGGTCATACTAGGAGCCATCTGATGATTTAACTCTTGAACCTACATTTGTCACATAAGAGATGTTCCAGGGCATAAAACTATAGGATAAGTTTCAAAACTATGTTAAGAAAGTTGGGGTGGTGATGGTAGAAGAAAGAGACTGTTGAGTGCTGGGAATTACTAAGCTACCCTTGACTGCATATCACTCTCTTCCACCTAGAGTTTTTGGTGAATTTTAGAGAGGACTGATACCAATAAATCCCCAGTATTCTCTCATCTGAAGAAGTCTTACCCAGAAGTATTACTCAGACACTTCTCACTGTCCATGAAAAAAGGGAGAATGTAATGAGGCAATTAATATGCACAGAACATTTAGAGTAATAAACTGAGCTCAGTTCTGATACCAGATCTGGGATAAGAAGAAAAGCACCTGGAAAGACAGGCACTGAAGAAGTAAGCTGTGCCAGGGAAAGGCTTGGCACTGCTTGCTACTATATCTCTTTGTTCTAAAAAAAAAAAGGTTTGACCTCTCCCCTCCCACCCCCCACCAATTAGGGCACTGAGAGCCAGTGTGGTGTAGTGGGTGAAGTGTTGGACTAGGATCTGGGAGACCCAGGTTTGAAATCCCACTCTGCTATATTCCTGGGAGCGGGGGTCATTTCCTGCAGGAGCGCACAGGAGTGGAGCTCTGGCAGTAAAGATCCCAGGGGGCGGGCACATGCAATAAGCCCCACCCCCTGCTCCCAGCAGCCCTCAGTCAGAGCAAGAAGCAGCTAGGTAAGTTGCAGAGCCCCCCCCGCCCCCCCAGTCCTAAACAGTCCACTGGCACCTTTAAGACCAAGTTTTATTCAGGTACAAGCTCTCCCTCCTCTGTGAGGACAGATCTGCACATTCCCTCCCCCCCAATAGCTAGCAATCCAAAACAGTCCAGTGGAGCCTGAGCGGTGGGCGTTGCCTTCTGACACACTTCCGGTGATGTCAGGGGGTGTGGTATATGCAAATAAGTTATGCTAATGAGTTATGCTGATGAGCTCCTGCACCTCTTTTTCTACGAAATGACCCCTGCCTGGGAGACTTTGGGCCAGGCACACACTCTCAATCTAACCTTCTTTTCAGACACTTAGAGTCCCCACTGGGGAGAGGGGCAGGGTAAAGAAATGAGTGATGTATCATTGCAGGTGGAACTAAGTAAAGGAGTTAGGCAAACAGGCAGGAAGAATAACTAAGTGGTGTGGGGAAGACACAGAATGAAGGAACAATCACTAGAAGATGATTCAAAAACACAGAGTAGATGAGAATCTGAGTTTTTAAAGGGTTTTTAAAATGACTTTAAAAAAAATGACATTTTTTTTAAATGACTGACTTTTAATGGTAGCAGATAGTACCTCCAAGATAAACCCCCTGCTCTTTTAAAAAAAGACACCCTGGTTTTATGCTGTGATGTTTGGTCTGATGCCTAGTAATAATGGGCTCCTCACACAGTCATGCCTGCTCACCTAGGTTCTTCTACTAAAAGGTTGAACATTGGTGCACAGTGATTGACCTGTGGTGAAGACTGCCCTGGTCATATTTCATATTTAATGTCTTTTTGTGGTATTAGGGCAGAAAACAGGTAACAAGGGCTAGTTTCCAGAGATTAAGAGCATTATTTATGCCACTTCCGGTTTGTGGATCAGTGATGGCGGTCGCTTTCCCCAGACCTCGGGGAAGCGACTCGCACACCAGCGGTATGGGGGGGGTGCTACCTCAAGTAGCACTCACACGGAGCCTTTGTGAAAGGCTCCAGGCCATAGGGCTTTTGAGGGGTGGCCTCTTCAATGGCTAAATGCCAGAGAATTGAGGCTTCCCTCCGCCCTGATGGTCCTGCTGCTGTGTGGCCTTCGGGCACAAGCTGTTTCGACCGGGACAAGCGCTGGAGATCGAGCAGAATATCGTTTACCGTGAGCGAGGTCAGAGAAATGATAGACAATGAATGTGAGTTCAAAATAAATGGAACATTTTAAAAGTGAATCCCCCCCCCTTGTGGGAAAAGCGGAGCGCAAAGAGGGACGCCTCTTATGTGAAGGGACAGATAAGCATAACGAAGGGGGTAGGGGGGAAATACACAGCGGTTTTGTGTGGAGAGACTTACTTGAGCGCTGACAGTGAGGTGATGATTTATCGAGTCTGTGAGAAGCGGTTTGGAATCGTAAACAATCGTATAAAATGGCGACCTCGCAAAGAAGTTTAAAACGAAACTGGTGGGTAGTCAGAGCCCAAAACCAGAAGAGGGAGCAGACGTCATGAAATTGTTAGCGAATATGCGTAAGCCGGTGATGGAGCAACTCGATGGTATTAACCAGCAACTGACCTTGCTGAACCAAAACTTCGCCTCCCAGCAGCTACAACTGGCAGAAACGGC